AAGGGTCTAGGCCCGAAACGTCAGCTTTCCCACTCCTCTGATGCTGCTTGGCCTGCTGTGTTTGTCCAGCTCTACACCTTGTTATCTTGGATAAACTCAAGTTGTTTTTCTTAAGAGCAAAAAAGGCTGAGGTGTGGAATCTGATTGAGGTGCATAATATCGAGGGGCATGACAGGGTGCGTACGAAGCAGCTGTTCCCTTAAGTTAGTAATGAGGGGACATAATTTTAAGGAGAAGGGCAGGACATTTAGACGGGATTTGAGGAACAGTTTTTTTTTTATCCATAGGGTGCTGGGAATCAAATGCAATGCTAGAGAGGGTCGTAAGGAAGGAAACGTCATTACCTTTGCAAAGTTAAATGGGTGAACACGTGAAATGTCATAACGTTCAAGGCTATGGGCCAAGTACTGGGAAGTGGCATTAGTGTAGATTGGCGCTGATTTGATGGGCCGAAAGTTCTCTTCTGTGCTATATGACTCAATGAAAGGAACAGGGAAGTAACATTGGTATTTATAGAAAATGTCCTCAATATGCAAGACTTTTGATACATCCCGTTATGTGCTTGCTTAATTCCACATTCATTTAATAACTTTATAAGAAGTGATTTACCAGATTTTATCTCATCAATTATTTTTAGTAACTTAAATAATAATAACCATTGTGCTAAAATTGGTATGATTTCTTGATGTTGCCAGCCCGTGCTACACTGGAAATCCTCATACCCGACTTTATCAAACAGACCTCGGATGAGAAACCCAAAGACAGTGATGAACTTGAGGTAATTTTGTCGTTTTAACTCCTGTTTGTTTTTCCTGTGTTTCTCTAAATTTTGCATTCCCTTACTTGGGATTCTGTAGGATTTGAGGGAGCAGGACAGGTGGTGAACCAGGAGTGCAAATCAAGAAATATAGGGAGTGTGGGGCATTTATCCATAGCCGGCAAGGTGTAGGAATAGCCTTCCAGCTCAGAGGCCACTTGTCACTTAAGTGGCCACAGGCATTGTCCCCCTTGGCCAGCCTCATGACAACAAAGATTCCTATCCCTCACCACTCTTTTTTGAGCCAGCAGCCCCAACCCCATTTACTTTGTTTCGTCAACTGCGTCCATGCTGCTGCTTCTGCTGGGTGCAGTCTCTGTAGTGATCATAGCTTTCAGTGTGCTGCCAAGACTGGAAAGACCCTTTTTAAAGGGAACAAAGCCCCTAGAGGAGTTCATTGGTTTATGTCCAATAGACAAACAGTCAGGGATCCCCACAATAACTGAAATAGGGTTGTCCAGCTGTCTGATCCATTGTTGGACCCACAATCACCATAGTCAAATCTCAGCGTCTGCTTCCTGTACAGTTATTTCATGTGAAGAACTGTGCACATCATTTCATTTTCCCGTGTTCATTTTAACTGATGTGTTGAATTGCATGCAAGGCATTCACTTATTTTGTTTACTTGCACTCCTTCTTTAGCTATTCCAGTATTGTGCTTTATTTTCTGCTTGTTTTATTTTATTTTCAAAGTGGTGACTTAAAATATAATTCTGTTTAAAAATATGTTCATAATTTAATTATGTTTACAATAATGTTTTCCTGTTTCTGTAAACAAATCTGCAAAATTTCAATACAGCATATGTTGTAAAGGGTTCATTAACATTGGAGGATAGAGGAAATTTTTTAGAATTTTAAAGAATTACTTGAATTAGAATGTTACCAATTCTTCTCAGCTCCTGTGGTACAACTTATCACTGTCAAAAATGTGAGCAGAATTTTCAGAACACATGTGGGTTGATGTGAAACTTCCTGAGTGAGATGGAAGTTCTTAATTAAAAGATTTCTTTTTCCACCTTTTTGAAGTTGCAGAGCATCAACCAGACAGGAAAAAGCCACCAAAAAAGATGCATGATTACAATACGTTGAGTTTGTGCAGTATGGTGGAGATATTTCCTCTACCTACTGAGTGCCTTCTTCTCTGCTTAATTACTTGCCTCAAGGCTCAAAAATACCTTGCTTTGAAAGAATGCATACCTATTTACTTTTTATCCTCCCTGTGGTGAGTTAAAGGAGGAGAGTTTATTGTCTAAGGTTGTGTATATGATAAACATAGGGAATAGTTCCAGGAATGAAAGTAAAACTCTTGTGTTATATTATGCTTTCTTAAAATACATTGTTGAAATGTAGCTGTCACTGGCCAGGCCAGCATTTATTGCCCATCTCTAATTGCCCAGAGGGCAGTGAAGAGTCAGCCACATTGTTCTAGGTCTGGAGTCACATGTAGGCCAGACCAGACTAGGGCAGATTTCTTTCCCTAAGAGACATTGGTGAACCAGATGTATTATTTACTAATGATCATTCATGGTTTCATGGCCATCATTAAACTTTTAATTCCAGATCTTCATTGAATTCAAATTCCACCATCTGCCAGAACAAGATTTGAACCCCCAGAACATTACAAGTGTCCCTGGATTAATACCACTAGACCATCACCTCCCCCTTTTAATGAAGTATTCACCATGCATATTTCCAGGTTCTGGAGTAAAGTGTAAGTTGTCCTGCATTGTGGCTTTTTTTTTTAAACTTCTGAAAGGCAGAGAAAAGGCTTCTACATTTAGTTGTTAGATGATGTAGGTATATTGTCATTCCTGAGGTAGCTAACCAGCAGTTTGTAGTTCATAGCAACTTACCTGATGATAGTTTCTATTTTTGAAAAATGCATCATAGGGAGTACTCATGCCAATCACTAGTTCCATACTTCAAATAGTAAAGAAAAAAAGTATCAAAACACAGCTGAGCAGGACATAGAAAGATGCTAATTGCATCTGTTGACCTTCACGCATATTCTATTAATATTAAGTTCGTTAGATATTCCTTTGGGTAATTGGTACCTTTTGCTGGTTGGTGTGAAGTTCACCTGCACAGCTGGTTGAAATATCCTCCTAATTCCTCCTGAAATTTTCTTAGCTCATTAGTAGAGTGTTTGTTTGGTATTTCTTTCGTAGGTTTAGGGAGGTGTTTGGAAGCTTTCTTTTGTATTTGACAATTTCCATCTGCCTGAAAGTGTCCCACAAGGTGAATGAATGTTGCTTCATTTAAAGGCTTGGAAATGGTCAGCTCATTTTAATTAGCAATTTTTACCTTGTAATGGAATTTTGCTTTTGCTTTTGTGAGTCCCTGACTTCCCTTGTCAAGGTTGTCTTTGTCCACCCCTTGTTATGTTTCTTCTTCTTTTGGGATGATTTTCTGCCGCACTTCCCAAATCAGCCCCAGAAACTCCTGCTCAGAACTTTCCTAAAGCCTGGTGCCAGAATAGAATGCCAAATGGTGGCTCAGTGGTTAGCACTGCTGCCTCACAGCACCAGGGGCCCAGGTTCGATTCCACCCTTGGGCGACTGTCTGTGTGGAGTTTGCACATTCTCCCTGTGTCTGCATGGGTTTCCTCCGGGTGTTCCGGTTTCCTCCCACAGTCCAAACATGTGCAGCTTAGGGAGATTGGCCAAGCTAAATTGCCCATAGTGTTCATGGATGTGCAGGCTAGGTGAGTTAGCTATGGGAAATGCAGGGATAGGGTAGGGGGATGGATCTGATTGGGATGCTCTTCAGAGGCTTGGTCGCTGTGGACCTGTTGGGCCGAATGGTCTGTTTCCACACTAGAGGTTCTATGGTACTCCAGTTGGAACTGAACCAGTGTTTTATTCATTCGCTTCCCCTGCTAATAAAGCCTTGGATGTATATGTTTTATGAACCACTTGTTTCACCTGCCCCTTTTGTTCCATAGGCTCTTATCTTTGCTTACCAATGTGTTTTGCTGCACCTCCATCAGATACCTTTTTGGAGATCATGTACGTTACAGCAATAATATTTGCTTTCATCAGAAAATATCATCAAAGTTAGGTAAACATGATTCAACCTCAAATTCAGATTTGATTTTCATTCAGAAATCTCCATATGCCCAAACAATGGATTTTATCCTGAATTATCATTGCTAAAAGCATCCTCACCTTCTTGGTTTTGGTGTTGACATTTGCTACCTTCCAAGTACCATGTATTTGAGAAAGTTCATTGTGTTTTTTCGAAAACGAATGGATTAAATTCCAGCTGCATTCAATGGCTTCATGATCCTAATGCTATGTTTTTATTTTAGATTTTATTGATTTTTGGCGTATCCCTATCATGAACAACTTATCAAACCCTAAATATCACCCTCATGCTGTTGGTGTAGCTTTCTTGTCCTCGTTCTCTGCAGCTTGCTCTGCCTTATTTCTCTCATCCTTGCTTCCTTTTGAAAATTTCTTCTAACTGTTCCGTTACTGCTCAGCATCCATTTAGTGATTTAGAATGCATTATATATTTTCTTATGAACCTGTTCAGAGATGTTGTTATTATGCACCTCTGGAACAGGTGGGACTTGAACCCAAGCCTTTTATTGTTTATGCACCCTATATAAATAGAGGTTGGTTCAGAAATTAAGAACTAGTTTGGGAATTCATCTCATTATCTAGATCTGGTAATTTATCTCTAATTTTTGACTTGAGTCATGGATGTAGCTGAAGTGCAAAACCTGGTTGAACGATGGCTCAAATGTGTCCCTCCATTCTGTGATACACATTAGTGCTGCTAGCTGATGGCTCTCATTTTACTTGAACTGGCAGCAACACGTGTCCACGAAACTGCCTAAATTTGCCAAAATGTAAGTTTTTTTTTTTGTATAGTGCTTTATGCATTACTTAAGGTCTTAGTGAAAATTTGTAGCTTGGGTTGTGGATGTAGTTGTTCGTTAGCTCACCGAACCGATTGTTCCACGATGTCCTGATGTTTCGTTACCCTTCTAGGCAATATCGTCAGTGCGACCTCTAATCAAAGCGTTGGTATTCTGCTCCGTTCTGAATTTGTATGGTCCTCTGGTACGATGGGTCTTGTCACTTCTGGTTCTGTTTTTTTTTTTTTTTTTTTAGCAGCAGTATGTATACAGGGTCTATTTCTGTGTTTGTTAATGGAGTCGTGTGTTGAGAACCACGTTTCCAGAAATTCCCTTGCATGTTTGTTGTTCGCTTGTCCCAGTCGAACTAATGGCCGTGTGTGTGTGTGTGTGTGTGTATTGGTCGTGTCTTTTTGCTGCCAGCTGGTGTTCATGTATCCTGGTCGTCAGTTTCCTCCCTGTTTGTCCAATGTAATGTTTATTGCACTCGCTGCACACAAACACCAGCTGGCAGTAAAAAGACACAACCAATATTCGTTTGTCTCAATACACATAGACAATGAGGGTCATCAGTTCGATTTGGAACAAGTGAAGAACAGACATGCAAGGGAATTTCTGGAAGCCTGCTTCTCAATACAGGACTCCGTTAGCAAAAACATAGAAATAGACCCTGTAAACATACCGCTGCTAAAGAACCAGAACCAGAACTGAAGACCCATCACACCAGAGGATCATATAAATACAGAACAGAGTAGAACACTCACCCTTCGATTAGGGGTCCCACTGATGATGTCTAGAATGGTAAGGAAACGTCTGCACACTGCAGAACAACCGGCTCAACGAGCTAATGAACAACTATGTTACTTGACTTAGTTTTTTGTACTAGAGAAAAGTTACACTAATTTCATCTGCTACATGTCAAGTTCGTGTTTGGTACAAGGCAGGTGCTCTTAGGAAGAATATGCCTCCCTGAATATGTCCAATGACGTAGTGGTAAAGTCACTGAACAAGTAATCCAGAGCCCCAGATTAATGATTTAGGGGCATGTATTTGAATGCTACTATGACAGATGGTGAAATTCTGATTCACTGATAAGGTTGTAACCACTGATCATTGTCATAAACACCTTTCTTATTCAGTAATGTCCTTTCAGGGAAGGAAATCTACTAATCTTATCTGGTCTGGCCTATATGTGCTAAATATGGGGTCAATGTGGAGTTGTCTCTAACTTGAAATTGGGCAATTAGGGATGGGCAATGAATGCTGGCCTTGCCAGTGCTGCCCTCATCCTGTGCACTAATAAAAGAGAATGGTGCTGTATTATGTAAGTCACCTTACAAGTTTAACCTTTGAATAATTAGCATTTTAAGGAACTGTTTTGCCTAATAGTGCTAGTACGAAACTATGCCAATAATTGACATTTTAATATGGCCAGTTATGATTTGCATTTTTCTCCCTTTGTCACTTTCCTGAAGATTTGGTGTCAAGCAGTTGGCTGTTCAAATCTGCAGTATTGAATACCCCTGAATGCCTTGTCTAAGTAATGATTGAACTCGACAGCAATTGTTAGCAATCTGTTTGTACATGTGTGGTAGATGATGACGTCTGTGTCTGTCCTCTTACACAAGGTCACCAGAAAGCAATTGAGAGCAAAAAGCTGCCTAATTTTATTTTCCACTTTGTCCTTCTATATTACCACCTTAGCCTCAGCCTCAGTATTTTGATGACTGCTGTAATCATCGAGCATAGTGCACCAGCTATTAGCACTAAGAGCCTCTGAACTGAGGTACTCAGTAGCATGCAAACTGAGCGAGTTGGGGCTTTTATTCCTTGCATATGAGATGCCTTGGTTCACCTGATGAGTTGGAATTCTAAGACTGTGTCCTGTGCTGCACTTTCCCTGAATTTATTGGAAATGTGAAGTTGCAAGACCAGGGAAAACCTGACTTATTTTAGCCTGTGGGAAGTAGCTCCTTCTCCAAACAGCACAACTAGCCCTATATAATCCTCAGCCTTCGTATCATTTCCACTTTGTACTTCATCTCTGCAATCTTGCATAGTTGCCTTTTTTGGTTGGTTTTTTTACACTCGATTTATAGTATAGCATTGCCATCTAGTGTCCATATAAACATGCCAAATTACAACTGAACACAGTGTCAATGCATTTGACAGTATTGGCTGACATTCAGTTTGTATAAGAAACACAAGGCTCTGCTTTGTACACTATTGGTGTTCATTTCTTTCATTTTAGTACTTCAACCACATCAGTATTGAGGACTCACGGGTATATGAACTGACCAATAAGGCTGGACTCTTGTCACCGTATCAAATTCTCCATGAGTGCCTTAAGAGGTAAGCCAAAATGTTGAAGTGCTTCATGTAATTTCCTGCATTTGTCTTTGCTTTGCAAGTACAATCTTGCTGTTGTGTTTGCTTTCTTGGAAGATCGCTTAACTTCCATCCGTGCATTTCTGTTTGAGAAATCTTGTTGGAGTTTAATCTTTATAGACTATTAGTGAGGTATAGAAGTATCAGTTACATTTGAAAGCCTCCAGCATGCCCAGTCTTCTGTGCCTCTGTTCTCCATATTTACCACCCCACTCCCAGACCCAGGTTCCCTTTACTTTCCACTTCACCAACCTCCATATTCCAGAAATTGTCCTTTGCCAGTTCTTCCAACTCTGGGCACGTGATGCATTCACTGAAAACCACTTCCCCCTGCCTTTCCCTTTTCAGAATTCCTTCTGTGTTATTCTTATCCCATTTGTGAGTCACCCTAACACTCCCTGTCTTCTCTACAGAACGTTTCCTTGCAAATGTAGGCGATGCAGCATTGATACTTATACCTCCATCCTAATCGCCATCCAAATCTCAGACACTCCTTCGAAGTGCAACAGCAATGTACTTGTATTTATTTCAAATTTAGTATCCTGTATTTGCTGCTCCCAATATGATATTTTGTACATTTGGGAGACTAAATGCAAACTCGCTGGAGCGCATTCAGTGCAAGCGCAACCCCAACTGGTTTGCTGTCAGTTTAATTTTCACCTTGCTCCTGTGCTGACCTTATTGACCATGGTGTGCAATAGTGTTCAGAGGAGCTTGAGCCTTCATTCAATGATAGTGTTTGACAACTTTAAATTGTAACCTCTACTTTCACTCATTCTGTGTGTGTTTTACCCCTATTTTCTGTTTTGCTGGGTCACTCTTTTCTAGGTTTTGTTTAATCCCTTCATATTGAATTCAGGTGTTTTTTATGCAGTAACATGTGCTTCATGTGGAAATGACCTTGTTCATTTATATCCATGACCATGCCTTTTGGCTGTTGCATCACAAAATCCTTTATTTAACCTCTCCTGGCCTCCATCCTATCACTGACCTTCTCATTTGTTCTACTTAGCCCCTGACACACAACTCTTGCATTCCCAGTTCTGATGCAGGGGCATAGGTTTGAAAAGTTAACTTTTTTCTGTTCACATTCTGCTTGATCTGAGTTTATCCAAGAATTTTTTTTTTTTTTTTTTTTTTTTAATAAATGTTTTTGGACCCAGTACAGCAGTGTTGCATGCAACAATACCGTTTGTGGGTTTAAATTTATGATCAGTACATTGAACAATCTTCTGTGTAATTTGATTCTATTTGTAATTTGTGACAAGATGATTTGTGAATCTAGCACCTTACACTTCATTCTTATTTTGATACTTAGATTTGATAACCTGTTTGAGTTAGGTTGTGGGTTCAAGTCACGCTCCAGAGACTGGAGCATAAGTATCCAGACTGATATTCCAGTGAAACAGTCAGATGGTGCTTCTACCAGAAGTGCTTCGTTTCAAATTAGATGTTAAACCCAGATCTATCCGCCCCCTCAAGTAGACATAAAAGATCCCAATCGATATCTCAACTTGCTGTGTGCACATTGTAACAGTGACAAATGAAGGAAATCAGTGCTTCAAAAGTATTTTGCTGGTGGTAAAGCATTTTGAGGTGTTCTGAGGTTGTGAAAAGTACAATATAAATGCAGGCCAATCTTTGGGCAGTTGCATCAACCTCACAGAAAAGTTGAGAGAATGATATTCCTTTACACATTTGCATTCTCTGTGGTCTTGGCATTCACCTGATCTGAAGTGCCATGACCAGCCTCAGAATATTAGAAAGATCAGGAAAAAAATTGCTTTTATTTTTGTCTTGTGCTCCAGACTTTGTTCAAAGCTTTCCTCTCTTCTGGATTTGGTTGTTAAAAGAAATAATTTATATTCTTCTTTGTAGTTGAAGAATTGTTTTTCCTTTTGTAAGATTGTGGAATTGGAGAATAATACCATAAAGAAGGGAGGCACTCAGCCCACTGTTGCTTGCTAGCAGTACTTATGCCCAAAACAAGACTTAACACTTGCTGACACTGCCTGGAGTCTGAAAACCACTGCTATAGATATTTCATGAGTATTTATTTTGAAAGATTTTGAGTCTTGAAGGATAGAAGAAAGCTTTTAGTTCTGGTTCAGGTTTGCAGCATCTTGATGTTGCGTGTGTAAAGAGAAGTAATTATTGTCACAGGTTTTGGAAACTCTGGTCATAATGGAGATTACCATTATTTTTAAAAGCTGCTGTGTTGATACCTCTAATATGCAATTAATGTATAGAGTCCATTCAAATAATGAAGGTTAGTGCTCGATGTACCTACTTTGATGGGATCTTGTGCAGTACCACAATAATGGGCTCAGTATGCATTTTTTCCTCCCTCTTCCAGTTTTATTTCACATTGCAGGAAGAATGTGAGATGGTAACTTCTCCCCGTGGCGAATTGTGAAATTAAAAGGTTAATAATCCATAATGGAGACACCAGAACTCTCCACTTGAAAGATAGTTGGGACAAAACTTTCATAACATTTAAGCAATAATTTGATATTCACTTGTGTTGCTTATGGGCCAAGAACTAAAAAGTGGGCTTATTATCAACACAGACACATTGTACCTTCTGTAAACGCCTGTGTCTATGAAAATAAGTAATGCCGTGCCAGTATTGCCCACACCCCAAGAACAGAAAAACTCGAACTGTTCACCTATTCCAAGAATAACAGTTCTCTGCAAATCACTGTTCAACATCTCCAATGCAGAACGTCAGTACACCCGAAACCGAATTTTACGTTTTGGATCAGGACACCCTCATTGAGTCACATGCAGAAATCCATACTGTTTCAAGAATAGCCACCCAACACACCTTTTGTCTTAAGTGATCATTTAGTGTTTGGAGGGTGCCTTCGATATCTAATTGAGGACGGCAAGTAGTCTGTCCAAAGTGAAGAGTCACTAGGAAGCCCTCCAGTGCAGAAGAAGCTGCAGCATGCCTTTGCCTATAAAAGAAAGGAGGATGCCTTCACCTTGACGTGCCTTAGCAACTTAAAACAAAACAAATCTAAAGAAATGGCCACAGCTGCTGCATTGTGAAGGGGTAATTCCTTGGCAAAGAGGTCTGTGACCACATCTGTAGTCAGGTGGGGAAGGAGTTGAGTGTGTCTGTGTGCCTACAGTCTTTATTCTAAGGTTGCTTCCAGGCATCTGTTGTGCTACCTACTCTGGGGGACCCAGAGGCCAAGTGACACCATGTCACATGCCTGGTCTCATCTGTTGCTGCCCCCATTTCTGGGAGGGTTGGAATTAGACACCTATCCCTTTTTTCTCACTGTGATTCAAAGTTTAAAGCATTTATAGGTGTGGTAGAGTTGTGCATCCACTGTTAAGTACGCTGTTTCTAGAGTAAACTTTTTTTTTTTTTTTTTAAATTATTATTATTCTTCAGTATCAATGAGTTGAAGCACAGGCTTAATAAATCAGAGAAGCATCTGAGAGGATATTGTTCATCCATGTTCTTGTCATATTACCAGAGTATCTGACTTTATTTGCTTCATTGCTGTGTTTATTAAAGTCTTTTTATGCTAAGTTATGTAAAAGGGAGTGAATTAATTTTAATTTTCAGAAACCATGGAATGGGCGACACAAGCATCAAGTTTGAAGTAATTCCTGGTAAAAACCAGAAAAGTGAATATGTGATGACCTGTGGCAAGCACACAGTGAGAGGCTGGTGTAAGTATTGAAATTAACATTGGTTCAGTTTTGTAATGTCCAAAATTTTGTAAGGTTTTCTCCAGAGTTAATGGATGTAAAATCACTCCTGTTAGTTTTAAATATGATTTCAATTTGATTTCAGAAAGCTGTATTGAATGCAGGTATACTTCGGGTGGCTAAGTCACTGCTCATTAGAAAGGCAGTATACACTTTTTGCCATGCCCAGCTGCCTGTTAAGAAACGTGGTTGGGGAAGGAGGTGTGATACTTCCACAATGTAGGTATAGTTGAAAATACTAATGCATTGTTCTGATAATTATATGGGTGCTCAAGCATTAATATGTTCACTACTTGTGATTGATTTCATCTCAAAATATCTGACCAAACGACAGCATGTCTAGTTTTTGAAATATGACCTTGCAGGCTAACATGCTGACTGAATGAAATTTGGTATTAATTGGGTGCTTTTCTTCAGGATGATAGCAGTTATGGAAGTTTTTTTTTTATTTTAGTCAATACTGTTGTGTACAAAATTCTGAATATTACCTAACTGTAGAACTTTGAGTAGAGTACCTGATACCTACGATTAGTTGCTGCTATGAAGCTGCAGCAACTCAAAATTTTAAAAAGGCCTCCGAGATGATAAGCTATTGTTGTGTTGTGTAGTATAGTTAAGTATTTCATTTTCTAAACTGATTGTGGAAGCTAGTGCCTAATTTGTAAATCGCACATTCTGCCATTGTTCAGGTATTAATCTTCTGGTTTCATTGTTACACTGCCAGCATTTTTCTTAGACTCCCTAATACTTGAATATTTTACTTTTCCCTTTTAATTCATTTTGAAATACATTTTATTTTAGTATCTACCCGATTAACATGCTATTGCTACAAAGTGAACGAATATGGTTGTTCATTTGTAACTTCTAAAGGATTCTGTATTTTAAATTTTTGTGGCTTTGCCTTTCAGTAAAATCATACTTTAGTACAGTTTAATCATTAAAAAATTACTAAGTTTAATGAAACTATAACCATTCCCTTGTTTGACCTTATCTGTTGAAATGTTCGTTTCCTTGTATTCACTTCATTATTGAGTCTAGTCTTCTAAAATGCTGATGGGCTCAAATTTGTTGTTGAATGGTAATTACAGACTAGGGTGCTTATTTGAGGTGTGGAAGGTTTCAAACTTCTTTAGAATCATTAATGTGCGAAATACATAATTTGCACAGACCATTGCAATCAAAGTGCAGTCAGTTTTTATTTCTCTTGATTTGTTGTTTATACAATGAATAGTTAAATACTCAATGATTAGATTTCAGTCCTTTGTCTGCTGAATTAAATTGTGTCAGTTTCAGAACTTCTGGCTTACGGAAGGGAAAATTTGTTACAGAATGTAACTGCTCTTTGGAGCAGGAGGATGTCATTTGGGCCTTTTGAACCTGCTCTGCAATTTAATAAAACTTAAGTGACCTGATTGTGGTCTCAGCTCCACTTTCCTATCTTGCCTCTCATAACCCTTGACTTCTTTGACTATCAAAAGTCCATCTGACTCAGTCTTGAATAAACTCAGTGACCCAACTTCCACTGCTTTTGGTCAAGTGAATTCCACTGACTACCAACCTCCCCAAACATGGTGATAGGTGATTCCTTCATGACAGGAATGATTCAGGTGAATCTTATCTGTTAAGATATTCAAATCTTTTGTTTTTACTCATTGCAAAAACTGCACAGAGTACTCTAGATGTAGTATCACCACTTTGATGCTGTAGTCATGAAAAGAGGCCTTCATGCCCACTCCAAAAGATGAGGGGAAAAACGTTGCTGTCATTGGTGTCAACACATGTTTGTATGTTGAGAATGGCCACCTGAGCAAGACAGTAATGGGCATCTAATACCAGTGTACCCTAGTAAGGAGGCAGTACCTTCAAGGGAGAAAGTAAAACCTGATTTGCAGCTCCTTGAGCAGTAAATAAGATCATAAGACGTAGGAGCAAAGGTAGGTCATTTGGTCCATTTCAGTCTGCTCTGTCATTCAATCAAATCGCTGCTGATCCAATAATCCTCAACTGCACACTCTCTCCTCTTTTATATGATTAATTCTCTTACTGCTTAGAAATCTTTGACTTGAAGAATCATTTTTGAATATACTCAACAATCCAGCCTGTACAGCTCTTTGTGGTAAAGAATTCCAGAGATTCACTACCTCTGAGAAGAAATTCCTCCTCATCTCTGTCCTAAGTGACTCCTTAATCTGAGTTTATGCTGTCTGGCCCTAGATTCTCCGGCAAGGGGGACCAACTTCTCTATATCTACCCTGTCAAGCCCCCTAAGAATCTTGTACGTTTCAATAAGTTGTCCTCTCAATCTTCCAAACTCAATAAATGCAACCTACTTAACCTGTCCGTGTGAAAATCCCTCCATACCCAGCAATCAACCTGATAAACATCCTCTGGATTGCCTCCAGTGTCCGTGCATTTGCTTAAATATGGGATCGAAGCTGTTCACAATATTCTTGGTGTGGCATGTTCTTTGAATAAATTGTAGTTGTTGTGAAAACTGCAATTATAGTTTTCTTTTTCACAATAATTGAGCTTTTATCTTTCCATTGCAAGATTTTCTGATTCCTGGTGTAAAATTCCATTTCTGGGTAAATGATGAGTACCTTATTGCCCTTGGTCTTGTTGTCTGTATTTCTGATGGTGAAAGGGAGAGCGCGTTACTGTTTAAAAACCTAGAAATTAAATTCAACAGTCTGAAGACTGTCGGCTCTCAATATTCTAGCTTTATCTATTTAAACTCTATACAGATGATATTAATAGATTTTAGTTCTTTGTTTCATGAATTGTCGGGATGAGTTGAAGGCTGAATTCAAGTTCTATCCATTTCAGTGCCAAATATAGTTAGTTGTTTTTATTGCATATGTTGGAGGGCTTTCTTTTTCTTTTTCATAAGAGGCAAATACAGTCTGAACAAAGCACACTAAAATGTGAGTCTCATGAGCAGTGCTGTGATTTGCAGTTGTGCTATTGGGGGATTAGTGTAGCACTTGTACATTCATGTTCACCTCTCTGGTCAAATCTGACTATATCACTGGAACTAAGGCATGGGTCTTCTACATTTTTTCCAACTCTTGTAATTAAAACCTACTGCAATTTGCAGGCAAGAACAAACGAGTTGGCAAACAACTGGCATCTCAGAAAATCCTGCAATTACTACACCCTCACGTCAAGAACTGGGGTTCACTACTACGCATGTACGGCAGGGAAAGCAATAAAATGGTCAAACAGGTAAATTGTGAGGTAATGCGATGCATGTTGTATTTCTGTGGGGATGGGATCCAGGCCTGACCACCATATTTGTTGAAGAGTTGCTTTTTTTTTTGTAGCAACTTAAGCTTTTTAAGGGAATGTTAATCTCATAGTTGGTTTTAAAAGTGGTGTCAAACTTTTTTTATAAAGTGTGGTGGGAAATGGTTTAAATGTAGTTAACAGAATTTTGCAGCACATTTTGCCACTGAAATTGTTCCAAGTGAGAAATGGTTTTACCAAGAAGGTATTTCACGATAGCAAGAGCTCTGATGTAAATTTTGTGTCCCAGTGGCACCATTTCATTGATATATTTTTTGTTAAATGAACGGTTAAATGTTTTGCTAACGATTATCAAGTTTCTTTACAACATATGTCTGAACCTTGCACAATAGACCAAGAAAAAAATTTATTTAATGTCAGAAGCATTTGTTCACCCACGTGCTTTTCAGTTAAATGAATAACTTAGTCATTTTGATTGGCTTTCATATCCTTAGCAGGCTTCACTGCCAAATAGTTGCTCTACAGTATAGTTCAGATGTTTTGGTTGTATGCAAATACAGCAGTCAGTTTATGCATAACATTTTTCAAAGAGGAAAAGCAATTTATTTGACAGTCAAGGGAACCCTGTTTTCTTTTGGGACAAGTACAGTTGCATCTTTTATGTCTGCCTAAAAAGGAAGACAAGGTTTTGATTTATTAATCTGATCTTGAAGATGGTAGTTTCAATATATATTATTGTACAGTTGTGACTTCAGATTGTGATCACATCTGTTCTGGGGTTTGAATGCACAACAATCTGATTTCAGGTCTAAGTGCTACTATTAATCCCATTGCTTGTTTTCCTGGTGATAATTCCTTGCTTCCTGGAGAACGTGTTGGGGTTGGTTAACGCAGTTGGCTGGATAGCTGTTTTGCAATGTAGAGCGATGCCAGTTGTGTGCGTTCAATTCCTGTGCTGGCTGGGGTTGGCATGAAACACTCTCCTTCTCAATTTCTCCCCTCAAAACTGAGGTGTGATGACCTTCTTCTGGTTAAACCACTGCAAGTCATCTTTCTCTTTTTTTTTTCTCTTTTTTTTTTCTTTTTTTTTCTTTTTTTTTCTTTTTTTTTCTTTTTTTCTTTTTCTCTTTTCTTTTCTTTTTTCTTTTTTTCTCTCTCTTCTTCTTCTTCTCCCCCCTCTTCTTCTTCTCCCCCCCCCCCCCCGCCCCCACAATGAGAGATCAGGTCACTGAGCTGCTAAGACACTGGCAAATTTACCTTTAGTAAGCACCAAAAGGTTGTCCTTCATATTAAATGAAGTACATAGTGTTTTAGTCAAATGAAGCATTATGACGCTTGTTTTTTTTTTTGTTTTAAGTTTTTATGCAAGTAAGTTTATAATTCAGATTGGTAGAATCACTAATATTAGACCTTGACTTGCATTCACCAAAGACAAGGAATAATTTTCCCTATTGAGTTGCTATGGAAATTCAGTGACATTGAGTTTTTTGATAGTGTGAGGATCCCCAGTGATTTTTTTTTTTTTTTTTCTCCCCTCTCCTTTTGGAATATCTGCATTTGTTTCCCAGAGAGAACCCTTTAACATTCAAGGCAATGACAACCATGCCTTAAGACACATCAAATTGAGTAAAGTTTTGTATTTCACCTTTCTAATGCAAAGTTCTGAAATGTACCAGAAATTGCCAATGCTTTCTAATTAAGACCTAATTATGATTATAGCAGATAGCAAAACAATTTCCTTCATATGCCAAATGGTAATGTTGGTACATTTGCTTGTGGTTTATGGACTAACTTAACTTGCACTTGCTTCTACTGTTTTAACACAGGAAATGTCTGATAAAAGTGTGATTGAACTGCAGCAGTTTGCCAAAAAGAACAAACCGAATCTGCATATTTTAAACAAGTTGCGAGATGAAATGAAGAAATTAGCACGGGATAGGGTAAATATTTTTGTGTGGCATGGGGTGCATTGCTAGTGAGGTCGTGGCTGAGCAGGAGCTCATAGTTTCAGGTGGTATGAAAGACTTTGGTTCCATTAGCTATGTCTCTGGATTTGTTTTATATTATTTATGCTTATACATCTGATCTTGTCTTGCCAATTTTCCATGCTTCCTCTCCTGCCGTTTTTATTCCTTCAATTATTCTAAGCTAGTACCTTACCCAATTGGCTACCCATTGAATGAGCTTTGATAATGAATGTCAAAAAAAAGGCAGAACAAAGCCTGTTATTGTCCTGTGTAATGGGATCAAAAATAATTTAATCATTAGGGTTTTTTTTAAATAACAAGGATGTATAGACATGTCATTTGTTTTCTTCTCTGCCCCACGAAGGAGGAAACACGGAAGAAACCGAAGATGACAATAATGGAATCAGCGCAGCCAGGCAGCGAACCTCTTTGTACTGTTGACGTGTAAAGCACTGCAAAATGGAGAGCAATAACGCACTGGAGAAACTCATCCTCAACCATTTCTTTGTTACCTTCTTATAGAGAACATATATTACAGAATGCACAACAATGTTTAAAGGTTCCCCTAACCCAGCTTGACAGTGTACTGCTTCAGTTGTACATTAATGTTTTACATAACAGCAGGGCAACATTTATAAACATGAATTATTGAACTACCCATACCTCTATTTCAGGAAAGGACTTGAGGCTAAAAATAGAATGAGATTGTATTGAATGGTGGTGTTGACCCAGAAAAGGACCTTTTTTGACCTGTGAACATTTTAATTTATCAGTTCAATTTTAAGGGAGATATAAAAGCCCAATGAGTTTCCTGTATCTTCCAGCTACAGAATGATCATTAAATTGTCATTCTGCACTGATCTGTTGGTTAGCTAGGCCCTATGAGGGTAATCTTCTGGAAAGAGTTACACTTTACATTGTTTACCTGCAAGCTGGTGCCAGAGGAAAAGGCTTTCACTAGACAAACTTTAAGTTATTTCTTTTAGTATAATGTATTCTTTTCGTAAACACATTTTAAGCAATTTATCAGGAATTTTTTCAGTAAGTAACATTTTAATGAAGTGACACTTAAGCATCATTGAAGAAACACAGTATTTTGTATTTTATGTGGAGATTGTATGATTTGATGGTTTCAGGAACCATGGACTTATATTGGACATTTTAGAGCTTGGATTTTGACTGAATGGCCTTTATATTTAAAATTAATCACTAGTAAAAGGCTCAAAAATTGGCAAAAAAAAAAGTTGTGGTCTCTAATCCATGAACATAAAATGTTTTTTAATGCTTCTTTGTAGTAACTGTTGTGACTTTATTTTGTTGCACGAGTCTGTTAACCTGCATACATTTCATTATGTAAATGGGTCGGAGAACTGGATCCTATATAAGTAAATATAATGCATGATTGAGACTACACAATCCTGTTGAACTTACGGTGTTTGGGTTTGACTTTCCACTTCTGTCATTTGGCACAAATACAGAATGTCTATTTCTGTGACAGTGGTGTCACAGTGCCAAACTGATGTTCAGCTTTGGAATCATTGCATCAGAGCTGAAGTTGCAGCTATCTGTGTGTTTTCTTCTGATTCTGCTTTGCAATTATATGTTTTAAGACCTGAACTTTCAAGTTTGGACGGTTCCAACTCTCAATCAGTATTTTGTTTTGGTAGGAGCTTTAGTATTGTTAAAGCTGTTGTAGGCATTTATAACTTGTTTAATTGTAGTCTGCCCCACTGTTTTAGTTAATAGAAATCATTCATGATACAAACAAACAGGTTTGATTTTGTCTTACCATTAGAAGTAGAATTGATAAAAAGAATATAATGTTTCTCCACTTGTAGTTTAACTTATTATCAGGCATGCAGATTTGGAAGTTTTGATATAAAAGCTTGAATTAGTTCTCATTGTCTTATACTTTGTGTTGGGAAATGATTTTCCTTTCAATAACTTAATTTTACCTCACTTAAACCCAGGATAACAACCTGAAGGAAACAAAGTACCATGAATAGCTCCAGTGCACTCTTGGTAATGTGAACCAAAGCTTAATAATAGTGTCTTATGCAAACTGACAAACTAATTTTTTTAATGCTTGCTGCAGGCTTCAACAGTGGCATAGAGGGAGAAACAATTATTTTAAAAATTGCAATAACTGCTGGAACAAAAACTTATATTTAAACTGCTGTGCACTGTCATTTTGTGAATTTTTGTGTTTTAAATGTTTACTATTTTTCTCTGTTGAATGCAACTTTTCTTGCCTTTGCACATGAGCACAAGTGCTGCTGCGAGAGAGTCAGATTGTGGTTTTGCAAATTTGCATTTGTGATCAACTAGTGTGATTTGAAATGAAAAATAGTTGTCTTAGCTTCATCCTAATTGATTTGTACCTTTTTAACATTGGTATTTGTGTGTATTGATTGTAACTTATCAGTACATTATATTCAATGTGGATCTCATTTTTAAAAAGTAAACCCATCAATTAATTTTGCTGCCTAGAGGGTAATCATGAGGTAAAGGATTGCAATTTGACTGCCTTTTTTTTTCTCAATCCGTAGAAACAAATTATTTGTGATTATGGGTTGTATCTTGATAGGGCATAGTGCATTGTTTCATCTTTTTAAGCATGAATCTGTCTTATTGGTGCATCATTGTGTAAATGGTATTATAGGAAGAAAAACCAATCAGCCTGAAAAGGTGTTAAAACTCTCATTACGTGACTACATGATAAATCAGTTCCAGGATTCACTAAAATGTTTACTCTTAAATGCATGTCAAGTATGTAATAGATTTCATGTTCAAAATGGGGAGAAAAAGCCTTTTCAAATAAAGTTGCTCTGATTACATGCAGTAGCCTTCTAACACTCCAGGAAAGTTATTCACATATTACACAATTTATCAAGTTTGGAAACAAACTCAGAGGCAACTGTGTTTTCTTTTAAACTTGCATTTGTTTTGTTCAAATATTCAAGGACTTGACCTCACTTTAAATGTAGCTGTCAACCAATTGCAATTACTACTGTTCTTGATGTCTGAAAAATTCCAGAAAAACTAATGGTATTTTGTATGATTCAAAGTGCTTTAAATGTGACTTCTTAGAAATTTGCATAAAGCAAATTAATTCCAGTGATTATTGAAGCATACATAGAAATCTAAATTCTCTTTAGAAAGATTCTCAGAAGTTTGATTTTTGTTTGGTTACCTAACGCCTACTACCTTCTGTGTATTTTGAGTTGAGAAAGAGCACTGCAGCTTCCCTGGCTAACAAACTGATTCACTCGTCTCGTCTCGGACCAGTTTTCTTCATTCACTGATTTATCGTCTTAGTCTGTGGTCTACTTAAAATCAAAGTTCTGTCAATGTTACTATTCAGTCAAGAAATCTCCAGTGACTGGTGAATGAAGTTTCTCAAATTGAAATACAAATTTTGTTAAAGAAATGAAGTTCTCAAATAGTGGAATTTTAAAAAGTAAAATAATTCAGAAGGGATAATTGCTTCTAATTTGCCAAGAAGCAAGAATTGTGCAATTGCATTACATGGAAGATTGATGTAGAGATGATTTTTTTTTTTCCCCCAAACTTAAAAACGTAATATCCAGTTCATGTTGTGCCCTGTTATTAAAATTGTGTCTGATTAGGGAACTTGCAGTGCAAAGGTGCTACTGCACTGACAAATTGTGCATTATGTGCAGTTGCCACAATGACAGTGCTGTTTTAAGTGACTTTCAGGCTTCATGTATATGTCCTTCAGCCTATGCTTGCTGCAACCTGCACAGCCATCTGGGTGTTTGTGTGGTCCTTTTTTAGTGTGCCACGTTTTTTTTTGCTCTGTAGTTTGAAGCAATAAAGTTTGATAATTCGTTATAAAACCTGTTCTGTGCCTAGTCCTTCATTTCATATGACAAGGAATTGCATGGTTTGAAAATAATGCATTTGGCAGTATAGGAGTGGATTAAATTTTCCAGACCCCACAACTATCAGTTATGTTTTATAAATAAAGACCAAAATCAGCTTTAATTGCATCAAATGAGGGAATAAAACTTCAATTTAATAAAAAGCAAAACCTTTGCTGAAAATTCTTTCCAAAAATGAGATCTACTCAGTTGTCATGAAAAATGCTACAAAGAACAATACAGCACCAAAATAGGCCCTGTGCAGAAACATTTTTCCCTTCCAAACTAAAATTATCCTCACTTGCAAGATCTGTATCCCTCAATTCCCTTCCTGTTTCAAGTGTTTGTCCAGGTGCTATTATGTCTGCTTCCACCACCACCTCTGGCAATGTGTTCCAGGCACTCGCCTCCCTTTGAAGTAAAAGTCTTGCCTTGCATATCTCTTTCAAATGCCTCCCCTCCCCTCCCCTACCCCCACCCACTGAACCTGTATCCCCTAGTAATTGATCCCCTCCATCCTGGGGGGGACAAAAGCAACTTACTTTCCACACTCTCCATTCACAATCATAGAAATTTTTATCAGATTGCCTTTTAACCTCTTGCGTTCCAGTGAAAACAGACTTTCTAACATTTCTAATCATAGAATAGACCCCCAATAGTGTGGAAGCAGGCCATTTGGCCCATTGACCACACTGACTGGCATCCTACCTGGACCCCACCCCTGTACTCTATAATCCTGCATGTCCCATAGTTAATCCAACTAGTCTGCACATCTCTGAACACTATGGGCAGTTTAGCATGGTCACTCCACCTGCCCTGCACATCTTTGGACTGTGGGAGGAAACTGGAGCACCTGGCAGAAACCATGCCGACACAAGGAGAATGTGCAAACTCACATAGACAGTTGCTTGAGGCTGGCATCAAAGCCAGGTCCCTGGCACTGTGAGGCAACAGTGCTAATCACTGAGTCACTGTGCTCCCCTTTCTTCATAACTAAAATTCCCCATACCAGGCACCATCCCAGTAAACCTTTCCTGTACCTTCTCCAAAGCATCCACATTTTTTTAGTAATGTGGTGACCGTAACTGTGTGCAATATTCCAAGTCTGGCCTAACTAAAATTCTACTGAACTCCAGCATAACTTGCCTGTCTTTATGCTCAATGCCCTTTCCAATGAATGATGTGGAGGTGCTGGGGGTGGACAAAGAAGTCACACAACACCGAGTTGCAGTCCAACAGGTTTATTTGAAATCACAAGCTTTCGGAGTGCAGCCCCTTCGTCAAATGATTGCTTCAGGTGATAAAGGAGCAGTACTGCAAAAGCATGTGATTTCAAATAAACCTGTTGGACTGTAACCTGGTGTCACATGACTTCTGAATTTGACTTTCCAATGAAGGCAAGCATGCCATAGGCCTTTCTTTTTATTATCTGCCTGTGCCTCCATGTTCAGTGATCTGTGAGTCTGCACACCCAGATCTTTCTGTAGATCAAAACTCCTAAGGGTTCTGCCATTCACTGTATAACTTCCACCTGTACTTGACCTTCTAAAATGCATCACCTCACATTTGTCCGGATTAAACTCCATGTGCCATTTTTCTGGCCATGCCTCCAACTGATCAATATCCTGCTGTATCATCTGACAATTCTCCTCAGTATTTGCAACTCCTCCAATGTTTGTATTATCTGCAACCTTACTAATTAAACCATGAGGTATCAAAGTGCTCAAAAGCTGGCTGAAGCACTTAGGAATTCTGAGTGAATGATCAAATAAATAGACGGTACTCTTGCAAATAATACAGAAAACCTCAGAAGCACTCAAGAACCAAGATAAGACCTTAGGAACATGTAATCTTTCTGACCAACTTTCTCTTTTCCATGGTAAATTTAAAACTAACCAAATAAATTAACATGATCTCAATTATGGATAAGAAGGGAAACAAAAAATTGCTGGAAAAACTCCGCACATATGGAGGTACAGTTTTAGGTCCAGTGACCCCTTTTCAGAACGGATTTTAATTATGAAGAGAAGTATGTGCTGAAGGTGGGGGGAGGGTGTTGAAGATAAGAGCCCAGAGAGCGAAACAGGCAGCCAAAGGAATGGGTAAAGGTCAGCCTGGGAGAATTAATAGCTGCTAATGCGGCTGTTAGTGGCCAATTGGTTGTATATGGCAGCTGCCCATGTGATGGTGTGTGGGATTTGGGATAAGAACATGGGAGAAGGAGCTCAGGCCCTAACATTATTTAGCCTGATATTGAGTTCTTGAAGGCTGTAGGGTCCTGCTTTACATCAGTTTCAGAATTTCCCTGTCCATGAGCTCAAGCCACCACCTCTTCACCACAGCGTGTAATCTCTTTCCAAATCCTCCCCCATCAGGATGATTTTGGGACCTCAAGCTTCTTCCTGGAAAATAGGCCTGAACCATCCCCATCCTCCACCTGGCTGAGCTCATCCTCACATTGAATAATTCTCCTTTAATGCTCACTTTCTATAGGTCAAAGCTATCCACCATGGTTACCCATGTAGATCCCAGTTATGCCTGTCTCTTTGTGGGGTATGTGGAACATTCCTTGTTCCAGTCCTACTTGGGGCCCCCATCCCACAATTCTTTGTCTGGCACATTAATGACATCGTCATGCTGCTTTCTCTTCTCGTCTGGAATTGGAAGAGTATATCGATTTCACTTTCGATTTCCGCCCTGCTCTCACCTTCACCTGGTCCATCTCCCTGACTTCTCCCTGCCCTTCTTCAATATTTCCGTTTCCATTTCTGAGGATAGGCTGGCCACCAATGACCATTATAAACCCATTAACTCCCACTGTTACTTTGACTTTATCCTCACACCAGGCTTCCTGTGAAGACTGGATTCCATTCTCCCAGTTTCTCAGTCACATCTGTTCTAAGGAGGCCTGCTTCTACTAGGGGACCTTTGAAATGCACACTACCTCCCTCAACCGAGGATTACCCAGCACTGTAGTTGACAGACCTCTCATAGCTGACCCATCTCCTGCACTTCAGCCCTGACTCCTCTTCTTCCCTCCCACAACACTGCTAGGGTCCCATTGACCTCGCCAGCATCCATATCCAAAGGATCATTAGCCACTATTTCTTCCACCTCTAGCAGGATGCTGTGACCAGCCACATTCCCCTCCCCCCTCCCTTGTCAGCTTTCTACAGGGGCTTCCATTTGGCACATTTTAGGCCACTCCTCCACTCCAAATACCTTCCCACAGCCCCATGGCAACTTCCCATGGAATTGCACAAGGTGTAACACCTGTGCATTTACCTCCTCCCTCTTCATTGTCCAAGGCTTCACACCTTCCAGTTAAAGCAGCTGCTGCCAGAATTCAGTTTTTCCAGCAATTTCTGCTTTTATTTGATATCCAGCATTTGCAATTCTTTGGGTTTTTTTTTAATGAATAAGGATAGGTCCCTACTTCTGACCTAATAATGGTGGGAAGGTATTTGATAAAGGGCCCTGATGAACTTCTTATAGTATCCCCTACCTCTGAGTCAGGAGGCCAAAGTTTAAGTCACACCTTCTCCAAAGGTGTGTAATAATTTCTATGAACAGATTGAAAATATTTTAATTTACCTACATTTGCTTTTTTGAGGGCTATTGAGGCACAAGGTCCCTACAACAGGCCAAAAGACTTGGGTTCAAGTCCTATTTGTTCCAAAGTAATATCGCCTAAAATCACTGAACAGGTTGATTAAAAATTTCTACCCTGTTGAATTTAAGAGGGGGTTTGTGAGTGCATTGGTAGTGTCCCTACCTGTGAGTCAGGGTTCAAGTCCCACCTGTTCCAGATTAACATCACTGAACTGGTTGATTAGGAAAACACTTTACTCTGATGAACTTTTGCAGCGATGTCCTGAAACTGAGATGACTGACCTCCAATAACCTCAGCTGTCTTCCTTTGTGTCAGGTAGACTCCGAGCAGCAGCAATTCCTCCCCAGTTCCCACTTACTCCTGTTTTACTAGTCACACACAGTCAAATGCAGCTTGACGTTAAGGTTGGTCACTCCTCCCCTCCTCTGGAATTAATTTCTTTCCATAGTTGGATTGAGGCTGCAATGAGGTCAGAAGCCAACTGTTCCTGGCAGAACCCAAACTAAGTATATGTAAGCAGGTTATTGCTGCTTGATTAACACTTAACAACATCTTCCATCACTTTGCTGTTGATCAAAAGTAACCTGCTGAAGCACTATTGGCTGGGTTGGATTTGTCTTGCTTTTTGTGCATCTACAGTTCTTCATCTTAATGGAAAATAGGATGGCCAGCCAACAAATGCTGTGTGTGCATGCACCTTTGGTGCATTCTCCCATGCTATACTGAGGTACCGTGCCATCGTAGGAGATGTAGTTAAAATAAAACTAAGAACTGCAGATGCTGGTTCAAAAAAAAACAAACAAACTGTTGGAGAAACTCACCAGGTCGATCTATGGAGAGAAAGCAGAGTCAACATTTTGGGTTCTGACTTCAAACAGTACTCTGCTTTCTCACTCTACAGATACTGCTGGACCTGCTGAGTTTCTCCAACAATTCCTGTTTTGTTGGAGTTAGAGTTGTTGGAGCAAGATGTTAAACTAAATATTTATCTGATTTTTCCCAATTCCATGGCAACATCCAAACAGCAGAGGGTTATGGAACCATGGCATCAGCTGTAATTTGAGCAGAAATTTAAGAGACAACTCCCAAATTTAGAAGCAATTCCAAAGCCTTCAGTGCATAAATTCAGCTGACACTCCAATAGAAGACAGAGTGTGACTGTCCAGTTTTTTGGATGAGATATTGAACTGTGTGTTATCTCAATGGATGTGAAAATTCCATTGTACTGTTGGACAAGCAAGGAAGTTCTGGTGATCTAGCTAACAGTTGTTCCTTAATCCTTTAGTCCTCTGCCCATACTTGTACATAACAACAAAGGAAACTTCTAATACTGAACAAATTAACAAAACCTTTAAAAAAGTATTGACCACATTTTAATGAGTTCAACAAATTCACACATAATGGCAACATATACAAGAACTATTCAAATCAAAGTCTTAATTTTGCTCATAACTGTCATTACAGTGCTGACTTGGTTAAAACACTTAAATGACAAACATTATGCATAAAAGAAAAATTGTGTTCCACCATCATACACAAGTAACAGCTGCATGCTAGGGCAAGAGGGCACAGCCTCAAAATTAGAGGGAGCAGATTTAGGACTGAATTGAGAAGGAACTTCTTCACCCGGAGGGTTGTTAATCTATGGAATTCCTTGCCCAGTGAAGTAGTTGACGCTACTTTAGTAAACGTTTCTTAAAAAAAGGTAGATTTTTTTTGAACAATAAAGGAATTAAGGGATACGGTGAGAACGCGGGTAAGTGGATCCGAGTCCACGAAAAGATCAGCCATGATCTTAGTGAATGGCGGAGCAGGCTCGAAGGGCCAGACGGCCTACTCCTGCTCCTAGTTCTTATGTTCTTATGCTGAACTAGCTCAAGGTAGCATTTCTGGTTAATCCCAATATTTGTTTTCAATAATATCTGGTCATTTGTAATAAGTTTAGTCTCAGGTGTGTTCTTGAAGCCTCGTCTTCATTGGAGAAACTGAGCTTATTCCACTCTCTCAAACAATATTAACAGTTCATAGTACATTGTATGTGGGAAGAGATCGACAGCCATAGCTTTAACTGGACGAAATGGAGATCCCTTCACTCGATGAGATGGGGCACGACAAAGGCTGTAGCAAAACATGGGTTGTGGGTGGGTGCAGGGGGAGAAGGAAAATGACAATTTTATGTTCACAATTTGCTTCATTAACAATTCACATCACACTGCTGTCCATCAATTAATGATTCATGTGTGTGCAGGTGAAGACTCCAACCCATCCCAGAGATGGTAAAGAATGTTCATGTTGAAAATTATGGTTACTTTTAAACTAAACACATGAATCAAATTTTAGTTGTATCTCATCAAACATCAGTAAATGGAAAAAAGATAATAAACAAAATTAGCAAATAATTTCCTATGAAAATTCTTTACTTGGTTTCTCAAAAATGTGGCTATTATTATTCAAAGCACAAGTGCCAATTAACCAGTTTAAATAAATGTCTCGTTCATACATTGCTGCCACAATAAATCTGTGGCATAACAAGCAGTAGATGAAAGTTATGTACTGTTTAGAACATCTGGTGTTCTGCTGAGAAGAATTTTCACCATCTACATTCTAGTAGTAATTTTACCGGAGGCTAGTATTTCAAATCCAAATAGTATTCATTCAACCCAATGTTCTAATTCTATTACTTTGCAGCGTTTATTTCCCATCATTGTAAACTTCACTTGCTGTATATTAGCTAACCCCAAGGTTAAGGCAGAGAGTTATTTGGAGTGGTACACAGGTCTCCAATAGTAATCAAATGGTATGAAGGAAGAAAAAAAAAAAAATCAGGGCTTGTTAGAAAGGCACAGTTAAAATCAAGGGAGATTTAAATTCACATGTAGACTGGAAAAGTCAAATGGACAAAGGTAACCTAGATGCAGAGTTCATGGAATGCTTCTGGCATAAATTTTTGGAAGAGCATGTTCTGCAGCCAAGCAGAGATACTAGACCCGGTATTGTACAATGAGATAGAATTAATTAATGATCTCATAGTGAAGGCACCCCTAGATGGCAGCAACTATAACAGGACTTAATTTTGCACAGAGTTTCAAGGAGAGAGGAGAGGATCCAAATATCTTTTGAAATCAAAATAAAGGCAATTATGAAAGCATAATTGCAGAGCTGCCTAAAGTGAATTGGCAAATTTTGGTAAAGAATAGACCAATAGCGATGCAGTAGCAGACTACATTTGAGGAGACATTTGAATTAATAATGGAAAATAATGAAATGAAAATAAAACTGTACAGGTATTTTACATCATTCTTCACTACAGAGAATACAAGTGACATTCCAGAGTAGCGACAAATCAGGAAATAGAAGGGAGTGAGGAACTCAGGAAAATCAAAATCCCAAACACCAGAGGAGTGGTAGTAAGTAAATTACTGGACCTGTGGGCTGACAAAGCCCAGGTCCTCATGGATTCCTAGGTATGAAAAGAGTGGCTAGTGAGATTGTTGATCATTGGTTTTAGTTTTCCAAACCTCCTTTGATTTGGGGACAGTCTCACTAAATTGGAAGGTAGTGAATCTAACTCCTTTTCTCAAAAAGGGGAGACAGAAAGCAAAAAGCTTCACATCTAACGTACACGACGACAATAAATGCTGGCTAGCCAGCGATGCCCATGTCCCACAAGTGAAGAAGAAGATACATTTTAATAACTGAATTACTATTAAAGTTAAGCAGTACATTTTGACCAGTTCAACATAATCAGGTAGTATCAACATGGCTTTGTGAAAAGGAAAATTATATTTGACCAATCTACTGGAGTTCTTTGAGGGGGTAACATATGCTGTGTATAAAGGTAACATACTGTACTCAGATTTCCAGAAGCCATACGATAAAGTGCCACACCAAAAGTTTTGCAGCAAGTAAAATCTTATGGCATTGGAGATGGCAAATTGACATGGACAGTAGATTGGCTGGCTAACAAGACGCAGAGAGTATGTATAAGGGGATCTCTCAGTTTGGCAAGATGTAACAAATGATGCATCACAGGGATCAGTCTGGTGACCTCGATTGTTTACAAATTTTTATAAATGACTTAGATGAAGGGATCAAATCTGTTGATGACACAAAGATAGCAAAAAATCTAAGTTGAGAAAAGGACATAAGGAGACTACAAAAAAAAGATATAGATAGGCTAAATGAGTGGGAGATGTTGCAGCAAATGAAGTATAACATGCAAAAATGTGAAATTGTCTATTTTGGCAGGAAAATAGGAAAGCACATGATCTATACGGAGAGACGTTCAACAAGTAATTAGGGTTTGTTAAATAGAGTATCATCATTTGTCACAAGGGAGGTTGAATACAAAAGTCAGGAGATTATGCCTCACTTGTGCAGGGCATTGGTGAAAGAGCAGCTAGAGCAGCGTTCCCTCTAATGTTCTTTCTGGCAGCACAGGTCTCATGGGTCCAAGCATGGCAGCGACTTCCAGAACTGGAAGTCATTGTCACAATCAGGGTGCCAACATCAATTGCTGTGCCTAACGCTGGAGCAGCAACATGTATGTAGCTGCACAACCTGGAGGGAACTTTGATCTGGAGTAGAGTGCCCAGTGCAGTCACCTTATTTAAGGAAGGATGTAAATGTGTCGGAGGCTGTTTGGAGAAGCTTTACCAGACTAATACCTGGAGTGGGAAGGTTGTCTTATTAGGAAAGGTTGGAGAATATAGTCTTGTTTTTACTGGAGTCCAGCAGAGCAAGAGGCGGCCTGATTATATCCTGAGGGGTCCTAACAGGGTAGACATTGAGAAGATGCTTCCTCTTATAGATGAACCTAAAAGTAGGGGGTCACTGTTTAAAAATCAGTGAGCATCCTACTAAGAGAGAGATAAAGCAAATATTTTGCTCATATAGGTTCCTGAGTTTTTGGAACTCTTCCTGAAAAAGTGGTGGAAGTAGAGGCCATGAATATTTTTAAGGCAGAGATAATAGATTCTTGTTAAATAAAGGGAAAGAAAGGTTATCAGAGATAAGTGGGAATACAGATATGAAGATCAACCATGATCTTATTGAATGATAGAGCAAGGTTGAGGGATTGACTGGCCTACTCTTGCTTCTAACTTTTAATGTTCGTGCGTAGGTCATTTTCATCGTGTTTTGAAAGATGTCTGAATCTAATGTTTGAGCTATGGGGTCAGAGTAGTATGTACAAGTTGCATGTCCCCAGTGTGCTGGTGACACTTCAGAGCCAAATTGCAAAAAGGTCGCCTTATGCACCGGTTTCAAATCTATACAAGAATGCCATACTGTTCAAACTGTTTGTAAACTTAAACTCCATCGAACGATGGAACTTCACACCAAGTGGTGAGACAGTGATCAAGTTACACTCTTTTCATGATAAGAAAGTTAAATGCATTGCAGCATGATGATGCTTTGTCTCACGTCATTAGAAATGCAATACACATGACCACAGGTAAAAGTGGGTGGCGCTGCTCTAACCACTTACAGACTCTACTGTGCCTTCCAACATACCAGAGTGAACAAAATATTGTACATTTCCTCAATTTATTTTTTATATTTAGACTGCCAAAATAAGAACATAACTTACTCCACAAAATTGTTCATAGCTGCTCGAGCATTACAAGCAACATAAATTAGACTTTTCAGATGTTCTGCTCTTCTTATTGCTAATACAACTCTGGAATCTGCAAATCAAAAATATGTTAAATGTCAAGAAAAAAGCCCAGTTAATTTTTTTTTATTCAATTGAACATATAAAAGAAAGATGGCTGTAATCTCACACTGGCAACATTCAATATTATAGTGCTCAGAATCAAAATAGTTCTTACGCAGTCCTGCCCGAGGTGGGTCCACTACAGCAACTAGGTTCTGTGATGTTAAAGAGTTGATTACAGTAGGAAAGAGATCTTCAGCTTTCCCACACAAGAATTCCACGTTGGACAGACCTGAAGGAACGGAAAAATTCAACTGAAGTTAGATAGAAATGTGAACATAGTTATTTAGATAACTAAAACTTAGTTTTGTTCTGAAGAGGAATCACCGGATTCAAAATATCTGCTCTCTCCCAGCAGATGCTGCCAGGCCTGCTCACCAAAAATTTCTATTTTTTTGTTATTCAGGTAAATATTTTCTGCCAGTCTTGAATAGGAAAATGGAACTTGTCTAAATTGCACAGTGTTGACACATTGATTAAAAAAGAAACAAAAATAAAGAACATTTTAAAAATTTAATTATTTCAACTCAGGTGGCAGAGGATAGTATCAAATGGCTCCTCGACAAACATGGAAACTCCAAGGAGATTCTCATCGAGCACAGGATGTTAGTATTCAGCATAATACAAGCCTTCAGCAACAACTGAAACTGAATATTCACTTGGAAACTTGCAGATTTAGCCTGTTTATCTGTGAGAAGCTACAAAGAAAAAAAGAAAAAACACACACACTAGGGGTAGATGGAAGGGAACAAACAAAATTCCCATATCCTCCACATGCAGATACAATCAAGATCTGGTTTTGACAGCACCAGGGGCTGGGCCAGATGATGATCCACACTGCTCTATGAAGAAAGCACAAAATGTAATGTTATCTTGGGAAAACGGTTCTGAAACAGGAGAAAATTGAACTTAATATGGCCAAGACTGACACGCAAATTTATCAAGGATGTTAACAAGTACTAACCATTTAACTCTGCATTCACTTTAGCATCTTCAGTAGCTTCCTGGCACATTTCAATTCCAATAACTTTCTTCACTCTCTGAGCAACAAGATTAACAAAAAGTTGTTAATCCCAAATTATCAAAATATCTAGTCCCAATATCCCTTGTATTACTCTACTCTTTCAATAAAATGATAATTATCAGTTGATCTTCAGTGATATGATGACAGAACAGACTATAGCCTAGAATATAGCTGCAATGTTTAGCTGCTAAGTTTTAATGCCTCTGCACAGATACTCCCATCATCAGTGACTTCAAGCTCCTACTCAATTCAGGTTCAATTTTGAGTATACTGTTCTCTATCCTCCCTGAATTTCTCCCTCATGTAAACTCATCATATTCATAGCCAGCTCCTTCATCTTGCCATCTCAAACTCCCATTATAAATCAGAGAAAATAACATGGTAGAGTCTGTGAATTTGCAAACTTGTTTTAAACATATTGCAATATGGGCATTGGATTTAATATAAGCTTGGATTTATGCTTTTTAAATCTCAATTGTTATACACCTGAAATTTCACTTCATCTGAAATCGAGATTTATCTCAGTCTCCTACTCAAGCTAATATTTCCCCAGCATCTCAAGTCTGTGGAATGAATGAGTCTTCTTGTAACCCTATGTTCTAGAGGATTTCAAAAACCAAGCATCATATGCTACTTCTAACTTTTATGTCTTTGTGTAGGTAGTTTTGCATCCCGTTTTTTAAAAGGTCTGAATTGATTGTTTGAGCCATGGATTCATCGGGCACATGCAATTTGTACATATGGTTATGTGCATGGAACATACATAGAACACAGTACAGTACAGCACAGCACAAGAACAGGCCCTTCAGCCCACCATGTCTGTGGCAACCATGATGCTATTCTAAACTAATCCTATCTGCCTGCACATGATCTGTATCATTCTATTCTTTGCCTGTTCATGTGTCTGTCCAAATGCTTCTTGAACTTTGTTAATGTTTCTGCTTCTACCACCTCCCCTGGCAGTGCATTCCAGGCACTTACTACCAGCTATAATAAACCTCACATATCTCCTTTAAACATTTCACCTTAAACCTACACCCTCTAGTATTTGACGTTTCCACCCTGGGAAAAATATTCCAATTATCCACACTATCCATGCCTCTCATAATTTTATATACTTCTAAGATTACCCCTCAGCCTCAACATTCTGGTGAAAACAATTCAAGTTCATTCAACCTCTCCTTGAGTGTATTACTCAAATCCAGACAATATCCTGGTAAACCTCTTCCGCATCCTCTCCAAAGCCTCCACATATCTTTCCTATAATGTGACAAATAGAACTGTACACAGTATTTCAAATGACTAAAGTCTTATACAGTTGCAACATGACTTGCCAACTTTTATACTCAATGGCCCGACCAATGAAGGCAAGCATGCCATATACCTTCCTTAACACCTTATCCATTGGTGCTGCCACTTTCAGGGAGCTATGGACTTGGACCCCAAGATCCCTCTGGATATCAGTGCTTCTAAGGGTCCGGCCATTTAAAATATACTTTGCTCTTGCATTTGACCTCCCAAAACATATCACTTCACACTTGTTGAGATTAAACTCCATCTGCCATTTCTCTGCCAACTTTCCAGCTGATTTATATCCTGCTGCATCCTTTGATAGCGTTCCTCACTATCCACAACTTCACCAATTTTCCAGTCATTTGTAAACTTACTACTATATAGAGGTCCCAGAACCGATCCTTGCGAAACACCACTGGTCATAGTCCTCCAGTCAGAAAAATACCCCTCCACAACTACTTGTTCGTCTATGGCCAAGCCAATTTTGTATCCAACTTGCAAACTACCATGGATTCCATGCAACTCGATCTTCCGGACCAAGCTATCATAAGGGTCCTTGTCAAATGCTTTAGTAAAGCCCATGGGGACATCAACCACTGCCTTACCATCTTCAACCATGTTCATCACTTCTTCAAAAACCTCAATCAAGTTTGAGAGATAAAGACCTCTCTTGCGTAAAGTCATGCTGACTATCTCTAATAAGTCTGTTCTTCTCCAAATGCAAGTAAATCCTGTCTCTAAGAATCTTATCCAATAATTTGCCTACCAGCAATGTAAGGCTCACCAGCCTATAATTTCCTGGATTGTCCCTGTTGCCTATCTTGAACAAAGGAACAACAGTGGTTATTCTCCAGTCATCTGGGACCTCGTCTGTGGCGAAAGAGAACACAAAATTCTCTGTCAAGGCCCCAGCAAACTTCTCTCTTGCCCTCTTCACTATCCTGGGACAGATCCCATTAGGCCCTGGGGACTTTGTCTACCTTAATCGTTTTCAAGACACCTCCTCCTCCTTAACATCAACATGCCCCAGAGTATCAACAAATCCCTCTGTACGCTTACCACCATCCATGTCTTCAAAGTACTTTTTAAGGACCTCACCCACTTCCTCTGGCTCCACACATAAATTCCCTCCTCTGTCCCCAAGTGGACCTACCCCTATCCCAGCTAATAAATGTATAAAATGTATTGGGATTCTCCTTAATCCTACTTGCCAAGGACATTTCATGGCCCCTTCTAACTCATCTACTTTCTTTTTTAAATTCTTTACTCCTTCCTCGTACTCCTCTAGGGTTTTATTTGATTTCTGTTTCTTAAACCTTTCATATGCTTCTGTTTTCATTTTAACTAAACTTACAACATCTCTCATTATACAAGGTTCCAGAATCTGCAGGTCACACTTCCAAGGCCAAGTTGTAATAAAACGGCCTTAATACACTGGTTTCAAATCTATACAGGACAGCCATCAATACGAACTGGCTGCAAACTTAAACTGTATCCTGTATCCTCTAAATGACTCTTTCAGGCTGAATAAGTTGTATGCTAATAGACCATCCACAAGGTTTCTCAATATAAAACTTTTCACTTACCTTTGCAAGGGAAAGTCCAATAGTTCCAGTGCCACAGCAAACATCCAACACTACACTATCATGGTTCAGATTGGCCCAGTCTCCAACTGCTGAATAAAGGACCTCGGCAGCCTGGGTGTTCACCTAGATACAGCAATGTTTACATCCATGTAATAATATCTGATTGACTAGGTTACAAAAAGTCCCAGCACAAAACATCCCATTTTTCCCCGACCACTCACGTCATAACCAAACCAAGGCATCCACCCCCGCTGTCAAAGAGATCAACCAGTTTCCAGATCACAACAAAAGCCGCAAAATACAAAGTAGTCCTTAATTCAATCAGAATTATTAATCTTACTGAGTCACTAGGATGGTTGCTATGAGAGAAGATGTCATACTGTTGCAGTGGGTGATTTCCTTCCTCAGCCAGGGTTTACAAAGTTGGTTTGAGCAGATTATAACTATCCATGTGGCTGCGCTGTACCCAAACTGGGAATGACAGACCCACCCACCAAAAAACCTCAACGCAACATGCTCAATTGACATCATTTGTTCAAATACAACAACACTCTCAGATACTGAAGATCAATTTCACCTGGAAAAATGCATGAGGAGAAATCCTGAATTTAAGTCCAAGGAGCTCTTCATATATGTACTTCTCTCCAGTCACATGGTCCAAAGGCAAGTCTTCCAAACTGGGAGATTTTCTGGAACCGTTCAAAACAAAACCCTTAAACTCAAAATTGATATTTTTCTTCTACAACTTTGGCTGCAAGTTTAAAAAAGTTATTTCAAGTTAAGATTTTGACAAAAAGCTATTTGCGAAATAAGAATTTGCACTTCCACACATCCCAGGTTGTCCAAAGCATTTTATAAACATTAAATGTAATCATGTGAGCAGTTTGTAGCCAGGTCCTACAAACAGCAAATTACTGCATGTCTGATAAGGACACCATTCCCCCAAATGTCTCATCTGAAATACATCACCTCAGGAAATGCAATACTCCCTCAGTACACACCCAAGTGCCAGACCTAACTATGTACCTAAGCCTGTCATGTGACTGTGCTCCAGTAAAGTTTAATTTGGCAACTTTGACAAGTTATAAACAAAGACAGAATACTATAGTCAAAATGTAGTCAGGGTGATGATAGATGGCAGTATCGTAATGGCCTGACTACCATTCTGCGGAAATGTGTTCAAATCCCATCGTGGAAGTTGGTGGCATTTAAATTAAATGAATAAATAGAACCTTGAATTGAAACCTAGACTCTGTCATGGCAGCTGTGAAACCATCAATGAAAAACCCATCTGGTTCATTAATGTCCTTTATGGAAGGAAAAAATGCCATCCTTCCCCAGTCTGGCATATAAGTGTCTCCAGATCCACAACAACGTGAGCAAGCCACTCAGTTCAAGGGCATCTAGGTAGGAATGTGCACCATATACTCCCTTGTGACACCAATATCCCATTAAAGAATTCTAAAAATGTACAATTCTGGTCTGTTGTAATTCGAAGTGCCACATCTTGATTTATACCCTTGGATTATGAAACATATGGATAGATTGAGGTGGTGGGCAGTTGAAGAGAGATTAAAAAAGTAGAATTATATCAAATTTTAGAATGGCAAGGAAAGATTTTACGCAATAAAATATTAATTTTTGGAAATTTAATTGGGTTATATTTAAAGGTGTCAAAGATACATATAATCATTACATTCGGTTGGATGAATTATTTTTAAAGTAGATAAGATAGATTTGGTGAAGGTCACACTAATAATCCTTACACAGAAAATTTCCCAACTTGGAAGACTTGCTTTAGACCATGTGACTGGGGAGAAGTACATATACGTCGAGCTCCTTGGGCACAGGTGCTTTAGACGGGACAGAGGTGGATGAAAGAGAGGAGGGGGGAGTTGCAGTTTTGATTAAGGGGAGTATCACAGCAGACGTCAGAGATGAAATAACTGAGGGATCATCCAGTGAGGCTTTATGGGTGGAGCTTAGAAATAAGAAGGGTACGGTAACATTACTGGGGTTGTACTATAGGCCCCCAAATAGTCAACGGGAATTAGAGGAACAAATATGCAGGGAGATTGCGGAGACTTGCTGGAGAAATAGGGTTGTCATACTGGGGGATTTTAATTTTCCTAACATAGACTGGGACTGCCATAGCGAAAAGGGCTTAGATGGGATGGAATTTGTTAAATGTGTTCAGGAAAGTTTCCTCAAGCAGCTTATAGAGGATCCTACTCGGAAGGGGCAAAACCCGACCGACTCTTGGGAAATGGGGCAGGACAGGTGACTGAGGTGACAGTGGGGGAGCACTTTGGGACCGTTTATGGAGAAGGACAAAACTGGTTCACAGGTTCAAGTTTTAAATTGGAGCAAGGCAAATTTTCATGGTATTAGACAAGAGCTTGCAGGGGTTGACTGGAGTAGTTTGTTTGCAGGCAAAGAAACCTCTGGCAAGTGGGAGGTCATTAAAAGTGTGATAGCTAGAGTTCAAGGTCTATATGTTCCTGTGAGAGTGAAGGGCAAGGCTGGCAGGAGTAGGGAACCCTGGATGACAAGTAATATTGAGGCTTTGACCAGAAAAAAGGAGGCGTGGCTCAGGAGCAGGCAGCTGGGATCAAGGGAATCCTTGGGATACAGGAGTTTACTGAAGAAGAAAATCAGGAGGGCGAAAAGGGGGCATGAGATAGCTTTGGCTGAGTAGATTAGGTGGAATCCAAAGAGATTCTTTAAGTATATTAAAGGAAAAAGAATAACTAGAGAGAGAATAGGACCCTCAAGGACCAAAGTGTATGCGTGGAACCACAGGAGATGGGCGAGGTCTTCAATGAGTATTTCTCCTGTGTTTTACTGTGGAGAAAGACATGAAGACTTGGAAAGTTAGTGGCGATATCTTGGGGACAGTCTATATCACAGCAGAGGTAGTGTTGGAAGTATTATAATGTATGAAGGTGAATAAATCAGATATATCCAAGAACCCTGCAAGTGGCTAGAGAAGAAATTGCAGGGGCCCTGGCGGATATATTTGCATCGTCGTTAGCCACAGGTGACGTCCCAAAAGTCTGGAGGGTAGCAAATGTTGTGCCCTTATTCAAGAAGGGCTGCAAAGAAAACCCTGAGAATTATAGACCAGTAAGCTTAACATTCGAGGTAGGTAAGTCACTTGAGAAGATTGAGGGATAAGATATACAAGCATTTAGAAAAAGAGGGTTTGATTAGGAGTAGTCAGCATGGCTTCGTGCGTGGGAGATCATGCCTCACAAATTTGTTAAGAGTTCTCTGATGAAGTGATCAGGAAGGTTGACGGCGGCAGGCCAGTAGACATGGTCTATATGGATTTCAGTCAGCCCTTTGATAAGGTTCCACATGGTAGGCTGCTCTGGAAGGTTAGATCGCCTGGATTCCAGGGAGAGTTGGCAAATTTGGACACGCAACTGACTTGATAGTAGGAAGCAGAGAGTAATAGTGGAAGGATGCTTGCCGGACTGGAGGCCTGTGACTAGCGATGTGTCTCAGAGGTCGGTGCTGGGCCCATTGCTATTTGTTACCTATATCAATGATTTGGATGAGAATATACAAGGCATGATTAGCAAGTTTGCGGATGACACTAAAATAGGCGGTATCATGGACAATGAGGAAGGTTATCAGAAATTGCAGCAGGATCTTGATCAGCTGGGGAAGTGGGCCGAGAAATGGCAAATGGAGTTTAATATAGATAAATGTGAACTGTTGCATTTTGGAAAAGTAAATCAAGGTAGGAGCTTCATGGTGAATGGTAGGGCCTTGAGGAGTGTAGTGGAACAGAGGGACCTTGGAGTTTGGTGCACGGTTCTCTGAAAGTGGAGTCACAGGTAGACAGGGCAGTGAAGGAGGCTTTTGGCACACTGGCCTTCATCAGTCAGGGCACTGAGTACAGAAGTTGGGAAGTTACATTGCAATTGTACAGGGCCTTGATGAGGCCACACTTGAAGTATTGTGTTCAGTTTTGGTCACCTTGCTATAGGATGTTATTAAACTAAAAAGAGCACAGAAGAAGTTTACAAGGATGTTGCCAGGACTCAAGGGACTGAGTTACAGGGACAGGTTGGGACAAGCTAGGACTTTTTTTTTCTTTAGAGCATAGGAGACTGAGGGGTGTTTCTTATAGAAGTGTATAAGATCATGAGGGGCATGGATAGAGTGAATGCACTCAGTCTTTTTCCCAGGTTTGGGGAATCAAGGACCAGAGGGCATCAGTTTAAGGTAAGAGGGGAAAGAATAAATGGGGAACCTGAGGGGCAGCTTTTTATATACAGAGGGTGGTACGCATATGGAATAAGCTGCCAGCAGAAGTGGTTGAGGCGGGTATATTAACAACATTTAAAAGGCATTTGGACAAATACATGGATAGGAAAGGTTTAGAAGGATATGGGCCAAGTGCAGGGAAACAGGCTTAGCGTGGATGGACAGTTTTGTCGGCATGGACCAGTTTAGGCTGAAGGGCCTGTCTCCGTGGAGTAGGACTTTATGACTTAAATTCAGGATTTCTCCTCAAGCGCTTTTAAAGGTGAAATCGATTTTTAGTATCTGAGAGAATGAGATACAACTGTAATTAAAATATTTCTCTACTGAACAAAGTTGAATAAATTGGTTATTGAAACAAGCCCAAGAGCAGGGGAGGTGAGACCAAAATGCATTGCTCTTCTAAAAAGCCAGCATAGACTAAAGAGGCTGAATGATCTTCCTCTGTGCCAAATTATTGTATAATTTGATGATACTGGACTGACTCACTTTTTCATTGGTTGACAGCCTCGTCACTCCCTTCCTAACTAGTAATTTTTCTAAATTTTCCCCTTCTCTGCTTTTATCACTTTTTCTTGCTTTTGGCCTATTAATATTTATCTTTAAACTCCTCTCCTGCTTTTGTTTGCACCTGTACTTTTGCAATTTGATTGTATAAAAGAATGAATCAGCAGTCTGGGTGGATTGAGAATCAGATAACTAGAAATTCTGACATCTATTGAATTTGGTGGTAAGCACAACTTTACAAATCTGGATAATTCCTTACCTTTGACCTTCTTCAGCAAAGTAAAGTGAAGTTACTCCACAATCCTTCCCATCACCTTCTGTGAAATATTTGGCTAATTCACCTTTCAGTTCTTCTAGTTTTGTTTTAGTTAGCTTCTGTAAATAGATTGACAAGCCACATTGATCAAACACTAGAGGAACAAAAAAGTTGTGCAATTATAAGAGGCAACATAATTCAAGCTCCAATATTAAGTGCAATGCATGTAATTGTACAGAAAACACATAACTCAGTGACAAATCCCTAAATTTCATAAAGGGCACTGTCCAAATGTTGAAGAAATGCAAGCAACACTTTTCACTCTCTCATTTAGTCAGCTCAGAGCTGTACAGCCGAGATTAGGTCATGATTAAGAATACAGAAATCCTGGGGCAAGGTGGAAGAATCAAAAAGAAATTCACTTTCAGGAACAGTGTTTGAAAATGTGCTTCACTGTGCATTAAAATAAGAATTCAGATGATGTTGCAACCTTCAAATGTGCACGCATAGTGACTGTTGTCAAAAGAGATGCGTTAATGTCTTACAGCAGATTCCTAAATATTATATAAAATTCCTGGGGGTTAAAAAGTTAAATGGTACAATACAGAAGAAAAATGATTGGTTGAATCTATCTTGACAATTGATGCCAATATATTTGTTTCCTGAAAACACAAGTTTCATGGAACTCAAGTCATGAACAGTCACTGAAAGGGCAGCCTCCAACAATTCTCTATTCCTTGTTACTGCGTTTTATGCTTTAGAACTGCTAATCAACAACAGCCCCATAGCAGAAGGTTTTGTGGAACTGCTTTGAAATGAGTGTGATGTTATGAATAGACCCGAGGGCCAGGGCAACATTCACAAGTCTAAGTATCACTGAAGCAAAACTTCAGGCTGAAGGCACTTTCCTACCACTAAAAAGCAGGTATAAGACATTGAAATACAATTAATAAAAAAGACAGATAACCAACACCAGCAAGTATTCAAACAGTCTAGCCATCTTTCCAAGGTTATTCAGAAAAATTCTAAATTTGGTGCAACCTATATCCAATTTATCTTAATTAATACTGATGCATAAAATTATTACACAATTGGGCTTTAAAAACTTAATTACTGACAGCAGTACCTGAGGATTGAAGTAAATTATAGCCATGATATGCTTGGCTCTAGTGATGCGTACAGTCAACTGCTTCCAGTGACCTTCATACGTTTCTGGGCTATACACAGAATAAGGAGATAACCTGCAAACAAAAAAAACATACATTAGAAATATGCCAAAAGTTCAGATGAAGTGGGGTTTGGGAAAATGAGGGTGTCTTTCCACAGCTTCATCAGCGGCCTGAATGTGAATTATTTCAGCACAATCTGATTTGCTGCTACTGCCCTGACACCATGCAACCACAGTGGCAAGCTGGCTAAAACTGATCTGAATGATGACTCTACTTGAGTGGATTACTGCTATCTATGTTTTGCTTGTATGTCGTGTAATTGCCAGAAAGTCACCTGGAGTCACCTAGTGTTTTGTTGATAATCCTGGCTAAGACAACTATGCCTCAACAACAGTTACTAAAAGCTTTTCGGAAGCAATCTCTCCGGGTCCATGTGTTTTTAGCTTTTAAAAAGAAAGTCCCAATTATAATATAGAATTCCAAAGAGCATTATAACAAAAATACATTTGGTATTTCAGAGAAGTAGGCACAGGCAAACAGCACAGGTCTGATTCCCACACTGGACTTCCATTTGCATGTGTATATATCATCAATCAATAGAAATGAACCAAAGCACCCAGCCTGTACAAAACAAAAATCCTCCCTCAAATCAACACTAAGGATATGGAAGGGGAGGTAAGATCAGAGACTGCACTGTTTTTCACATGAAGAGGCAGCACCTTTTCTATGGCAGGTAAATGAAAGCAATCGCAGAAAAGGAGGAAGAAGTAGTATTGTAATAGTCTAACTATACAGAGAAAAATAACATGGTAATCCACTGAAATAGTGAATGGCTTTAATAACCTTATGTAGTTCTGAAATGCCTTCACAACCTCCTTTGCTTTGGTTGGAATATGAACAGTATCAAATGGCTCTACAACTGCACACGATCCTCCCTTGTATTTACCCAAACGACATCCTATAGTTTTATCTTCTCCATTTGCTCCAACGCCAATTAGAAATTCGCACTTGTTACGGTATTCAGTCTGAAACAGAAAATCGCAACGCTGGAAATCAAGTGGCAGAATTGAAGCAACAATCAGTACAAACACCAAACCTGTAGCACCGTAGTGCCACATTCCATGACAGTTGATGGATTCAGGTAATATGCCAGTTAGGATTTTGCAAAGTTAGGTGAAAATTCAAAGATGGTGACAAGAGTCAGTTCTCATGTATATGGCCAATACGTCTATTCACTAACTGCAAAGTTTACTAGACCAGAAACATGCCATTAGCTAAAAGGTTGTGCTGTCCTTTTCCATTTGGAATACAGAGCTTTCAATATTTATTTTTCTCCACAGACCCCGAAACTATTTATTTCCATCACAAAGATGCCATTTGACTCAACTACAGATCAGAGGTTTTGCAGCTTCCTAGGTTATTTATGTCTCACTAAATTTACAGATGGGGTCTGTTTACATCCAGAAGAGTTGATAAATGCTTGGTGCCACAAAATCTGAGGATCAGCTTTGGGCAAATGCATTCACATATCTGAACTTGAGATCTCCTCTCCCCCCACCTTAATCACAACTGTTCACTCAAAACTTAGGCGCACAGAGGTTAATTTGCATCATTATGTGATGCTCTGGATGTTAATATACCTGCAGTGGTGACGGCTTCACTCCCTCCAATGGACAACAGATTCCACCAAACATCTTTTTCTGTCGAAACACCCACGGCACAAAGGCTCGATTATGGGTACCTATTTCTCTAATATTACAAAAACAAAATATATGGGGAAGAACAATTAGATTTCACTAAACCATATTGTAAAAAGCCAAAGACTGATTTGAATTTTGTTATGCAAAATCTTGGTTAAGATTGGTTATTTAATCATAATCAGTCCACTTCAAACTTGCACCAAGACGTTATGTAAATCTCTATTTTGGGATAAGGCTGAATACAAATACATTTTGTATTTAAATTTGATTTTCCTCCTTCAGCCCCATCCTCAAATTTGCTTAGGATCTTAAATTTCCAAGTCAGTAAGCATATTAGACTTCTCAGTGGCCAGAGAACAACGTTACACAGCAATACATTCTCTCCAGACACTGCTTCATGGTGCTTTGACCCAATATTCACTGAAATGTCTGAAATGCTTAAAGAGTTCCATCAAAGGCTCAACTTCTCATAGCAGTGACACAGCATGGTTGGTACTTAACTGAGGAATGCCTTTTCAAAATCTCAGTTCAAAATAGAGATTCATCCCTCATCCAATCACAACAAAACAAGCATTGTCCCCTAAATCAAATTAAAGCATTTACATTTCAAGTGCAGACACCCTCATGGCACATACTTCTTTACAAGCAGAGAAGAAATTACCATCACCATAACAGAAGGTGAGAGCTGACCACATCAAAGTTATACCAGAGGGGGAATTAAGAGACTGCCACCAGGGTCACTGCCAAAGCCAAGTATCCTTGAGTAGCTATCTTCTAGTGAAGCAGGGCCCCTGTGGACCAGACAGCAGCCAAACAGTGCCCTCCTCCAGGAACCGGCCCAAATGCCGGTGTAGCGAGGAAGCCCCTATCTGGGACTTTAAGTCCAAATAATAATCACCAACATGCCCACTGTTGGTAAAATGCTAAGGGGATGGGAAGTTATCGGGATTCCCTCCCAAAGTCTTCCAACAGCATTTTACCAGCCTACCAGCCAGTTTCCATAGAATTGAACTGTGAAATTACGTTTTAATCATTGCATCCCAAGACGTGGATGTGTGTGTCTGTGTGTGTCTACGTGTACATCCTGAAAGGATACTCAGTGACAGCACTTCAAAATCACCAGTTGGATATTTTAATGCAACGCAAAGCCACCTTCACTCAGAGACAAATTCATGCAGCACGGAAAAAAACACTTTGATCCAACCAGTCCATGCCGAACATAATCTCAAACTAAACTAGTCCCACCTGCCCGCTCTGGGCCCATATCTCTTCAGACTTTTCCTATTCATGTACTTATCCAAATATCTTTTAAACGTTGTAACTGTACCCGCATCCACCACTTACTCTGGAGATTCATTCCACACGCGTACCACCCTCTGTGTAAAAAAATTGCCTCATGTTTTTTCTAAATCTCTCTCCTCTCATCTTAAAAATGTGTCCCCTAGTCTGGAAATCCCTCATTCTAGGGAAAAGAAAACTACCATTTACTCTATCTATACCTCTCATTATTTTATAAACTTCCATCAAGTTGTCTCAGCATCCTACGCTCCAGTGAAAAAAGACCCAGCCTATCCAGCCTTTCCTTATAAATCAAACATTCCATACCCGGCAACATCCTGGTAAATCTTTTTTTGAACCCTCTCCAGCTTGTTAATATCCTTCCTATAACTGGGCAACCAGAACGGGACACAGTATTCCAGAAGAGGCCTCACCAATGTCCTGTACAACCTCAACATGACTTCCCAACTCCTATACTCAAAGGACTGAGCAATGCAGGCAGGTGCGCCAAACGCCTTTTTAACCACCCTGTCTAAATGTGACGCAAACTTCAAAGAATTTTGTACCTGCATCCCTAGGTCCCTCTGTTCTATAACACTACCTGAGGCCCTACCATTAATTGTATAAGCCCTACCCTTGTTTGTAATACAAAAATGCAATACTTCGCATTTATCCAGATTGAACTCCATCTGCCATTTTTCAGCCCATTAACCCATTTGTTTAAGATCCCTTTGTAATCTTAGAAAACCTTCTTCACTGTCTACTATGCCACCAATTTTGGTGTCGTTCGCAAACTTGCTAACAACGACTTCTATATTCTCATCTAAATAATTTACATAAATGACAAAAGAGGACCCAGAACCGATCCGTCTGGAACACCTCTGGTTACAGGCCTCTAGTCCTAAAAGCAACCCTCCACCATTACTCTCTGTCTCATGCTGTTAAGCCAATTATGTATCCAACTGGCAGCTCACCCTGAATCCCATGTGACTTAACTTTTACTAATTAGTCTACCATGCAGAACCTTGTCAAAGGCTTTACTAAAATCCAAATAAACAACGTCTACTGCTCTGCCATTACCAATCTTTTTGGTAATTTCCTTAAAAAACTCAATCTAAATTGAAAGACATGATTTTCCCCGCACAAAACCATGCTGACTATCCCTAATCAATTTCTGCCTCTCTAAATATCCATAATCCTATCTCTTATAATCACCTCCAACAATTTACCCACAACTGAAGTTAGACTCTCAGGTCAATAGTTCCCCAGTTTCTGCTTACAACCTTTCTTAAACAAAGGTACAACATTAGCGACCCTCCAGTCGTCGGGCACCTCACCCAAAGTCACAGATGATGCAAATATTTCTGTAAGGGGTCTCCTAATTTCCCCCCTTACTTCCTACATATCCAACATTGCCCATCAACAGTCAAAATAATACACAGAATTAAAATGAACTTAGTCCATACTTAAATATCCTAGCCAGCTAAGTAGGCATGTAAACAGAAACAGAAATTGCTGGAGAAACTCTAGCAGCATCTGTGGACGGAAAACAGAGCTGACAATTTGAATAGTGGTCCTTCTTCAGGACTAGAAACAGCTAGGCAATAATGATATTTATGCTCATGACAGGGCTTTGGGGGAAAAGGAGTGAGCAAATAGGCAGAGATGGAGCCCAGAGAGAGACAAAATGATAGGCAGACAAAGGAATCGCTGATAATAAGCCAGGGAAGAACAGAAGCTAGTTAAGCACCAAAAGCAAACCATTTCAAGACAACAGCTGGGGTTGTGGGGGCAGATAATAGACAAGAAAGGAGGTGTTTATGTTCTCCTCTATATTCAAATGATTAAATACAGAATGGGTGAGCACTTTACGGAACACCTACGCTCTGTTCGTAAAAATGACCCCGAACTTCCAGTTGCCTAACACGCGTTCCCACGCCAACATTTCTGACTCAGGCCTGCTGGAGTGCCCCAGTGAAGATCCTCCAGCTTGAGCTGAGCAATTCCTCATCTTCCATTTAATTATCTAACAGACTCAACATCAAGTTTAACAATTTCAGAGCATAAACACCACCTTCCTTGTCTAGTCCTCATCATCAGCACATATACCACCTTTTCCTAGCTGCTTCTAGTGCTGAAGAACTGGACTTGAAATGTCAACTCTGTTTCCTGTCCACCGATGCTACCAGATCTGCTGAGTATCTCCTCCAATTTCTGTTTTTGTTTGAGATCTCCAGCACCCACAGTTCTTTGTTTTATTATACGAGTAGCAATGCAATTTGTTGGCTGTGGGGACACGGATCAGGATAATCAGAGAAATTGTGCAACCTCAATGCATTTGGAATCCTTACTACCTACAGAGAGCTTGACAGTCTAAAATAATGTTGGAGTTCTGACAGTCAAGTAAGTGCATTAAAAAAGAATGCCAATGTGTGACATGCACGCTCTGATAAAGGCACATATTTTTAGTTGCTTCCCTAGCAAACTCAAAATCCCGCATTTAGCATACATACGTAGTTAACAATGCCAACACTTGTAAGACGTTTTGCTCTTTCTTTTTCAGCTGTTCTTCATATGGAATGTTCCATAGGGGTGTCACCACATCAGCAATTTGTTCACTTAAAGGTCTGTCCAAAACATCCACTGGAGCAGTACGCTTTCGTTCATGATTATCATTCTCGGTGCCTTCCTGCTTTCGTTTCTTAGCAATAGGATCAGCTTTTGGTTTTGCTAATCGGACATGCAAATTCCTATTTTTCCAAACTTGCCCCTGAAGGACCTCCATTGCTCGGTCTCGTTCTTGTTCCTCTTTAAAAGTCACAAATGCAAAAGGCCGCTTTCCAAAGAGTTTAATTTTGTGAGGAACCAAGCTATTCCTGCTGAGAAATTTTCTTAAATCGCTGAAACTTACATATTTTGGGAGGTTCTGTATTTCAATCTTGTAAATCTCAGATGTAAAAAGATCACCTTTAATATAGCGATATACATCAGCTTCAGGCTCAGTGCCATTCACCTGAGTTTCATTTGAGATGCAGGAATCTTCATTTTCCTCTGGTGTGGATGTCTCATTGACTTCTTTGTGAAGCTCTCCAGGAGAAATGCTGGTTCCTTCTTCTGCCATTGTTTTTCCAAATTCTAAAATACATACAACACCATTATTACTATTGTGCTAACACAAAACTAGCATCCAGTACTCCTCAATCATGCATCATGCTTCCAAATAATTCTGTTCCAAATAAGACCAAATTTGATACAGTACTTAATGCATCAAGATGAATTCTTAATTTTTCAAAGTGCCAAGGTGATGTTGTTCATCTGTTTCAAATTATGATTTTTTACTTTTCCATTGGCCTATGGCATTAGACCTTTAACCCACTTCTGCACATCTTTAAAGCCATTAGACAGCAGTTTTCAATAGTTCTAGCCAAATTGGTTTTAATTTCCACAATGAAAAAATACACAGTAACATGTAAGTCTCCACTAAAGATGTTCAAGACTAGCCCATTGTCGTTTGACATCATGTTCATTAAACAAGTTTCAGGACTTCAATGCACAAATCGAGGGTTATCCTTTGTTGCAGCATTGAAGGAACTATGCAGTGTCAATGGTGCTACCCTTAATTTATAATACTAATCAAAGTCCCTTCTACTTTCTCAGGTGGTCTGAAAAGGTTGCATTGTATTCTATGAAGTCCAAGGATTATCTTGCACAGTAACCTTCGAACAAAACCATTGACATCATTCATCTGGGGGGAGGGAGTCACGGAATGGATGGAATTTGAGAACAGGAAAACTATAGGCCACTTAGCCTGAAATGAGCAGTAGGGAAAATGTGAGAATCTATTAAGGTGATAATGATAGTTGCTATATTTTCTAAGTATCCTATGTATTAATGTAACAAGCCCGATAGGCAACAACTAAACTTTGGATGTAGCAGATTTAGATTTTCAATAAACATTTTATTAAGTGTATTTAGCGGTTTTGTTATTGAACCATTAACTCAAGGGGTCTGGACGAATGCTCTGGAGTCCAGTTTAAATCTTAACACTGTAGCTAGGAAATTTAAAATCAGTCAGTTAAACAAATGTGGAATAAAAACCTAGTTTCAGCAATAGTGGCCATAAAACTACCTTATAATAAAAGCCCATCTGGCTCACAAATTTAGGGAAGGAAATCTGTCATCTTTGCCCAGTCTGGTCTAAAATTAGGAGGCATATTTTTAAGGTGATAGGGGGAAGGTTCAAAAAGAACACGAGGGGGGACTTTTTTTCTTAAACACACAGTGATTCATGTGTGGAATGAGCTGCCAGAAGAAGTGGTGGATGCAGGTACAGTTACAACATTTAAAAGACATTTGGATAAGTACATGCTTGGAAAGGTTTGGAGGGATTTGGGCCAAGCACAGGCAGGTGGTACTAGTTTAGTTTGGGAACATAGTCAGCCTGGACTGGTTGGACCAGAAAGCCAGTTTCCATTCTGGATGATTATATGACTCTACATGTGACTGTAGACCCACAATTGTTGACTCTTAACTGCCTGCTGAAATGGCCTAGCAAGCCAATCAGTTGCATTCATGTCAGTGAGTCACTGCCACGTTCTCAAGTTGAACTAAATTTTAGGACTCATGGGATCAGGGACATAATGAATTAGTACACTGAGGTTACGTTAACGAACAAAAAACAGAATGGACACAAACAAGTCATCTTCTGGTTAACACGCTGCATATAGTTGTTAGTAGTCAACCATATACAATCCACCTAGATGAGGTGTAAAGGATCCAAATTTGTTAATGATGTTGACAAAAAGGATGCAGAGATATGCAAAGGGATATAGGCAGGTTAAGTCAGTGGACAAGTATTTAGCAGACCAGGTATTATTTAGGGAAGTGAAGTTATCCACTTTGGTAACAGAATAAATTGTTTAAAAAAAAGTTGACATAAACTATGGGCTGGAGAATAAGAGTGAATAAATATTATTGGAATTAAACAGAACCTTGGTGACAGCACACTTAGGATTCCTCACCCCAAGGAAGGATATACTTAGCTTGGAGAGAGTGCATTTCAGGCTTGCTGGACTGATTTTTGGGATACAAGTATCCAATGAGAAGAAAATGAGTAATGGATGTATACATGCCCTAGTGTTTAAAAATGAAGTTTCCATTGAAACAGAAGGTTCTTAACGTGTAGACAGAGTTGACGATGCAAGAACATTTCCCTGATTGGAAACTAGGAGCACGGGGTCACCACTTCATAATAACATTTGGTCATTCAGTAGTGAAAATTAGAAATTCCTTCAAACAAAGGTTTGTGAATATTTTTAATTTTGTACCTTAACTCTGGATTGTCTGTCATTGGGTCTAATGAATTTCTGTCTTAGAGTCATACAGCGCAGAAACAGATCCTTTGGTCCAACCAGTCTATGCCAAACATAATTCCAAACTAAACTAGTCCCACCTGCCTGCTCCTGGCCCATATTCCTCCAAACCTTTCCTATTCATATATCCATCCAAATGTATTTTAAACATAGTAATTGTATCCACACCCACAACTTTCTCATGAAGTTCATTCCATACACGAACCACCCTGCGTAAAAAATTTGACACCCCCATGTCTTTTTTTTTTAAAATCTTTCTCCTCTCATCTTAAAAATATACGCCTTAGTCTTTAAAACCCTATCCTAAGGAAAAGGCAACTACCATTAACTCTATCTATACTCCTCATTATTTCCCTTCAAACCCAAAAATCTAAGATATATGGAGATAGCATACGAAGATTAAGTGAAGAAAAATTATTTAACTGCACAATAGGATCACTGGAGAAAAGCCTCATAATTCTTTACCTATGAAATAAAAGGATAGTAACAGCTGATACAAAATTGGCTGAATGGCAAGAAAAAGGACAAGGTATACATTGGAGAAGTTCTCAGGGGTGAGAACAATAACCACTGACTTTATCGATATAAAATAATGGATTTAAAGGGGATTATTTTAAAAATTCAACATGTCAAAATTTGGAAGTATTGTGAACTTTAAAGATAGAGATAGACTTCAGGAGGGTACGGTCAAATGTGTGGTAGATAAGATTTAATGCTGAGAAGTGTGAAATGATAGCAAGAATGAAGAGAGAGAACATAAAACAAAGCATTACTAGAAACATAGGAATGGGATTAGGCCATTCAGCCCCTTGAGGCTGTTCCTCCAATTTAATGAGGATCTACAAAATTCAAACAGGACTAGACGGGTCAGATGCAGGAAGGATGTCCCCAATGATGAGAGAGTCCGAAGCAGGGGTCATAGCTTAAGGATAAGGGCTAAACATTTGAGGACTGAGATTAGAAGAAATGCCTTCACCCAGAGACTGGTGAGCCTGTTGAAGTCACTCACAGAAAGTGATTGAAGCTATTATGGCTAAAGGAGGATTAGGATATTGAGCTCAATGATCAACCATGACCAAATTGAATGGTGGAGCAGGCTCAGAGGTCAAATGGCCTACTCCTGCTCCTATGATTGCATGAGATCATGGCTGATCTGAGACCTAACTCTATATACCTGCCTTTGGCCAATATCCCTTAATACTTTTGCTTAACAAAATTTTATCTCCCTCAGGTTTTAAATCAGCAACTGGTCTACCATGCGATTAATGTAGGTGAGTTCCAAACATCTACTACAATTTGTGTATAGAAGTGCTTCCTAATATCTCTCCTGAATGGTCTGGCTGTAATTCTTATACTATGCCCCCTAGTTCTAGAATCCCCAGCCCGAAGAAATAGTTTACCTACCCTGTCTTTTCCTGTTCTTATTTTAAAGAAAGTGCATAGACAAAAGAACTGTGGGGTCATACATGCATAAATCATTGAAACATAGAAAGGGCAGATTGAGAAAGTAGTTACAAAAAGGAAAACAGGATCTTGAGCCTTAAAAATAAAGGCACAGAGTGCAAAAGCAACAAAGTTATAAGAAAATACAATAAAGAACTGCAGATGCTGAAGATCTGAAACAAAAACAGAAATTGCTGGAGAATCTCTGCAGGTCTGGCAGCATCTGTAATGAGAAAGCAGAGTTAATGTTTTGAGTCCAGTGACCCCCAAACTTTTGTAAAGTTCTGGTTCAGCTTCAGCTGGACTATGTGTCAAATTCTGGGCACTATATTTTAAGAAGCCACACAAAGTCTTTAGAAAATACACAAGAATTTCTCCACACACAGCTGTGAGGATAGATTGGAAGAAGTGTTATTTTCCTGACAAAAGGGAAGTTTAATAACTATGTTAAAAGGGGTGCAGACAGATTACTTCAGGAGAAACAGCTCCCCTTGGAAGTGAGGTCAAGAACCAGAGGATGCTAAATTAAGGTGAATGGCAAAAGAACCAAAATATAATTTAAGAAAACTTCTTTTTTACGCAGTGTGATTAGGATCTGAAATTTACTGGTTAAGAGGATAGTGGAAGCAGATCCAATTATGGCTTTCATGAAGTCACTGCATATGCATTTAAGAATTTTTAAAAAAATCTTGTAGGGTTACGCTGGAAAGAACGGAAAAGTGAACTAGCTTGTGCAGCGTGCCAGGACAGGCTCAACAGGCCAGATAGCCTCCTTCTCTATGGCAACCATTCCATGATTCTACCGCTCGGCAGCTCGTTTTGACAACTTTAAGAGGAGACCTATAGAGGAAAGTCAAAGAAAATCGATACATTCAACTGAAACGTATCGCCAGCATTTGGATAGAAACAAACTAAAATCATATTTTAAAAGGCCACGCAGTAGCAATAACGAAGATTGCAGATTATAAAAATAACAACTTCACCAATAAAGAACTCGTTCTGGAATAGGGAAACACTGACGTTTGCGTTTTAAATACCGATCAAAACGAGAAAAACTATAATCACATCGCTCACAAAAACAAATTTGCTTGACAGCACAAGACTCATATTGTGAGGAATGAGAAAATCTGTCCTTACAGAATACTGCAAAAGAACTGGGGAGGGAAGGTAACGTCCCGATGTTCATTGTGCAATTGAGAAGATAGGGATACGTGTTTGATACAAAAAGAAATGACAATCCAAATCCGTTTAATTGTATTTTTTTTTTGCTCAACTCACCGATTCTCTATGATTTGAGCACAACACAGCAACGGAACACCACCATTTTGTCAGGCCTACGTTAGCAAGGTGGGTGGTGAGAGAAGCACAGCATTGTGGGAATGACCCTCCCAGGCATGAGGGTAAACGTATCACAAAAATAATTTAATCTCGAATAATATATGACTATCAAAGATTGAATACGGTCATAAAAAACATGAATTTATATTGCATGTATTAAAGTATGGAGAGGTTGTTTCTGATTTTTGGATATCCAGCCCTGGTTGCTAGGGAGGCCATATTGGACTGAGGTAAGGTGGGTAAAAAATCAAGCGCGAAAGTAAAACGAGAGACGGATCTTTTATTGTTTCTCATCTATAATCTGAAGCCATCGTCCCTTAAAATGGCAGATGAGAGAGTAAGTATTGGCATGCAGTTGAAGTTCAAGCACTCTGCTTTTCATCTAAGTTGATATTTATGTTGGATTTAACGTCTAACGGGGTTTTTGAAGTATTGAAAGTCATCACGATTCTGATTTTTTTTTTGTTGCGGGGCCTGGGGGAGGGGGTGAGCAATGGATCCGCCAGAGCCGGCGGCTGGCATTTTATTCCTAAATCCAGAGATAGAAAACGTGAGTTGCAGCTGGAGAGGCCACCGTCATTCGAATCGGCGGTTAAGGTTTAAAGAATGAAGAGAGAGGGGTAACCTCAATCTGTGAAATTTAGTATTTTTGTCTGTTTTAAAGTTAAAATTTGTATATTTTGGTTTTCCTCGAGGCCTTATTCTCGGAGTAAAATTCACCCCGTGGTCCAGCAGTGGCCTAGATGGAGATATATCATTCATTATAAAATTACCCTTCATTTTCTCAACGTAGTTTTATCAAGGTGATTTAATTTTGCGCTTTCGCATCAGTTATGTCAGTCGCGATCGACACATTGTAGAAGGCATAGTTTATAATAAAATCGCTGTAGTTATGATTTTTTTTATAGCCAGTCGGATAGATGCAAGATAACCTCTCTACTGTAATATATTTATTGTTTCAGACACACCACTACATTCCTTAAGACGAAATTCTATGTTGACAATGACGGGTTACTCAAAATCTTCCTACCCGGTCACTGTAACTAACTTTTCTGTTTATGATAAAATCAAATAAAACCGAAAAAAAGACAAAACACATCATTCCATTTCGATTTTTACATGTGAATGTTTAAAACTGTTTTGTTGTCATCCGTGTGACAGGTGAATTTTCTGTGACGGTCAAGAGTTTGAGCTGCTGTATGAATTCAATTCTGTGGAGTTGGTGGTCTTCCCTAATTTTCCTTCTTATGCCGTTTTTATTGCTCGCTATTGAAATGATTAGATGCTAATTCCTACCATCTCCCACAAAAGCTAAATACTTTGGATACTTGAAATTTGAAATTAAAAATGATCAGCTCAGCAGGTCAAGCAGCTTCCATGGAGAGAAGCAGTTGTTATCGCAATTTGATGGCCTTTCTTCAGAATGATTCTGTTTGGCAGCACTTCAGTTATTGAAGTAAATGCTTAGTTTCTGATACAACAAGGTGCAGGGCTGAATGAACACAGCAGGCCAAGCAGCATCATAGGAGCAGAAAGGCTGACATTTCGGGCCTAGACCCTTCTGATGTTTGTATCTGAAATGAATTGAGTGTTTACAGTGCTTTCCATTTCACAGTGGATACACAAGCCTATAAAAAGAGAAAAATGGCATCCCTGCTTGAGTTGTTCATGACTCATATGGGAGCTGAAAACATTAAGAGCCTTCTTGTGAGTTTGAGTTTAAGCACATGGAATGTTTTGAGTATGACACAGTGATGCCTTTGGGGAGCAAATTTTGTACTTTGCTGATGATGTTCCGCTTGATCTGCAAGGGGTTACATGCTGAAATTTCTCCACCTAAAATTAGTCTTCTCTTTCCTCCTGCAAAAAAAGCCTGTCCGATCTTTTGAATAGCTAAAAGATTGTAATCGGTTGATTTAAGGTAAGATAGTCATTGTGTCAAACCAGAGAGGAGCTGGCATCCCATGTGCTTTCTAATTCTCCCATTCAGGTAATCTTTGATCAGTGTTTTGTTTGTAAATGTTTTCTACTTGTTTCAGCTGACCTCAATTTTTTTTCTCTAATGGCTATATACATTGTAAGTCCTGCAGAGACTGATCAGCATTTCAAAATAGTACACAAGCCATTTAACCTTGCCAATCAAAACCAGTCAAAATGGCACACAATCGATAGACAACAAGGTGCAGGGCTGGATGAACACAGCAGGCCAAGCAGCATCATAGGAGCAGAGAGGCTGACGTTTCAGGCCTAGACCCTTCATCAGAAAAGGGGGAGGGGAAGGGGGTTTTGAAATAAATAGGGAGAGAGTGGGAGGCGGATAGAAGAGGGATAGAGGAGAGGATAGGTGGAGAGGAAACAAACAGATCAAAGAGGCGGGGATGGAGCCAGTAAAGGTGAGTGTAGGTAGGGAGTTAGGAAGGGGATAGGTCAGTCCAGGGAGGACGGACAGGTCAAGGGGGCGGGATGAGGTTGGTCGGTAGGAGATGGAGGTG